TGCCTACGTGACTTTACCGAATAGAACCAAAGAGTATGGTCATAAGCCCCCTGTCAGACATGGAAACCTCTCCACTCCCTCCACAACTGCCCCGCCACTAATGGGGAGTTTTGGTGGAGTATTTGATGACACAAAAGAGTTTTTGAGAGGTTGATGGTAATAGTTGATGGTAAGGCCCCACCTCTTAGTATCACGCTCCAGGTAAAGCATCAGTGCTTCCAAAAGGTGTATGGAATCGATTCTGGGTTATCTCGATCACGCTAAATGAAATCGAATATTAACATTGCCGGTATGGATCACGCCAAGAGGAATCGACAACGACCGTGCTATTAACCGGAATCGATTACATGAAATATGTACTGATGTCATCACATGTGTGGAATCGATTATCTGATATCGTGATCACGATCAATCGAATCGAATATTAACATTGTGGGTATTGATCTCGCCAAGAGGAATCGACAACCCGAACTCTCTTACCTGAACCTTTTCTAACCCTAATCTTACCCCTAACCCTACCCTCTAACCCTAAGCCCATCACCATAATCCCTAAACCCTAAATTATATCCCTAACCCTCTAACCCTAAGCTAACCCAACCCTAACCCCTAGCTCCAAACGGGGTCCCTAAACCATAACCTCTAACCCATATCCCTCTAACCATAACCTCTAACCCTCTAAGCCTAACCATTAAGCCAGACCCTAAACCCTAACCATAACCCCTTACCCTCTAACCCTGATCCTAACCCCTTACCCCTAACCCTAAACTAACTTTTAGCCCCTAACTCTAACACTTAATCACTAACCATAACCCCTTATCCTCTACCCCTGATCCCTAACCATTAAGTTAACCCCTAACCCTAACCTATAACCCTAACCCCTAAACCTAACCTCTAACCCTAACCGTAACCTAACCTCTAACCCTAACCATAAACCAAACCCTAACCCTCTAACCACAACCATCTAACCCTAACCCTCTATCCTAACGCTCTAACCCTAACTTCTCTAACTCTAAACCCTAATCTTACCCCTAACCCTGAACCCTAACCGCTAACCCTAACGCAAACCCTAACTCCATAACCCTAACCCTCTAAGCCTAACCCTAATCCTTAAGTCTGACCCTAAACCCTAAATCATAACTCCTTACCCTATCCCCATAACCCTAACCCCTAACCATAACCCTAACCCCATAACCCTAACCTCTAACCGCTAACCCAAACCCCTAAGCTCGAATCCTACCCTAACCCTAATCCCTAACCTAACCCTAATCCAACCTTAACCCCTAACCCTAACCTAACCCTTAACCCCTAACGCTAACCCTCTAATCCGGACCACTAAACCCTAACACTAACCCCTAGCCCTCGAACCCGGACCCTTAAACCCTACCCCTTAACCTAACACTAACCCCTAACCCAAACCCTCTAACCATAACCTTCTCTAACCCTAAACCCTAATTTTACCCCTAACCCTAACACAAACCCTAAATACTATCCCTAACCATCTAACCCTAACCTAACCCAACCCAAACCGCTAGCCCCAAACGGTAACCCGAAACCATGACCCCTAACCCATAACCCTAACCCTCTAAGCCTAACCCCTAACCCTCTAACCCTAATCCCTAAGCCTGACCATAAACCATAAATATAACCACTAACCCCTTCCCCCCAACGCCTAACCCTAACCCCTAACCCTAATGCCCTAACCCCAAACCCTGACCCCTAACCTTAACCCCAAACACCTAACCTAACCCCTAACCCTAACCCCCTAACTATAGACCCCTAACGCTAACCCTAACCTCTAACCCCAAACCCTAAACCATAACCCTAACCCATAACCCTAACCCCTCACGCTAACCCTAACCCCTAACTCTAACCCTTAACCCTAACCCTAGCCTAAATCCCTAACTCTAAACCCTAACACTAACTCTAACCCCAAAACCCTAACTCAAATCTTATCCCTAAAACCTATCCCTAACCCTTTAACTCGAACCCTATGACCCAAACCCGCTAACTTTAACCCTCTAACCTTAACCCCTAATTTTTACCCCTAACCTCTAACCCTAACCCTTTAATCCTAACCCATAATCCTAATACGTAAATTAGAGAGAGACACACAACATAGACACACAGAGACCCAATGCCTCTGTGTCGAGGCCTTAAATAGATAGAGAGGAGGGGGGGGGCAGAGAGAGAGGTGGGTCTGCTGGAGCAGAGAAATTAGCATGTCAATGAAAGACCCAACGAGACTGATACATTTTAGAGAGAGTTGTGTGGAAATCCACCCCGAAGGAACTGAGGGAGAGAAATAGCGAATGGACCTATGAGAGCCTGGTACAATTTAGAGATCGAAATAGGCAGTTTGAGGAAACTAAATTTTGCAAATTTTCGGGAAATGTTCTGCGAGGCAACACAGAGAGTCGGCTAACACACAGCTAACGTGTCGCCCGGTTGATTACGATCTCCAAAGATTGCTAAATGTGAAGTTAAGTGTGAAATCTGACAAACCACCTGCCCATGTCAGCTGTTATTTCCGACTCTCTGTGCATCTCTCTCCGACCTCTACTCCAGTGACCCGGGTGCTGTCGCGAGGTCCACTTCCCCCCCTTCTCTCTCCCCCCTACTGCCGAGGCTTACTATATAACCTCGTGCCACGACAGATCTCTCGCCTACCTCAGCAGTTATACTGTGTAGGAACCTCCTGGTGACACCAGCAGCCCCCAGGGGATTATTGTGTCCGTCGGGCATCCAAAAATGGGTGGGGAGGGGAGGGTGGGGAGGGGCTGGGTGGGGAGGGAGGGGCTGGGTGGGGAGGGGCTGAGTGGAGAGGGTGGGGAGGGGCTGGGTGGGGAGGGGCTGGGTGGAGAGGGAGGGGCTGGGTGGAGAGGGGAGAGGCTGGGTGGAGAGGGAGGGGAGGGGCTGGGTGGGGAGGGAGGGGCTGGGTGGGGAGGGAGGGGCTGGGTGGAAAGGGGAGGGGCTGGGTGGAGAGGGAGGGGAGGGGCTGGGTGGGGAGGGAGGGGCTGGGTGGAGAGGAGAGGGGTGGGGAGGGGCTGGGTGGAGGAGGGGCTGGGTGGGGAGGGGCTGGGTGGGTAAGGCGGCCACGTCACACACGAGGGGCTGGGTGGCCACCGACCACGTGCGGCCGTCCTCACGACATTTTCCCCCTCCACGTGGAGAATCAACAACGCGCGTTTGGAGCACGCGGCTGCTCTTAATCCCTACATTATCGGCCGCCAATTCGCGGCTTATAATCAATGTGGCGTGCACGTCATCGTTAATGTCATTAATGTCATGCACGCCGTGCAGGCGCACGGCCGCTTCGTCGCCCACGATGGCGACAGCGACGTCGTCCTGAACTGCCTCGAAGTGGTGCGACCTGGACACGATACCCGCCTTCCGCCACCACCTGCTGGCGGAATTGCACTCTATTCAAGCGGGGGGGGGGGGGGGGGGGGGGGGGGGGGGGGGGGGGGGGGGGGGGGGGGGGGGGGGGGGGGGGGGGGGGGGGGGGGGGGGGGGGGGGGGGGGGGGGGGGGGGGGGGGGGGGGGGGGGGGGGGGGGGGTGGGGTGGGGAGAGGCTGCTTTAGGCGGTACATGCACATCCCAGGTAGAGTAAGTATTGTATGACAACTTGTTCAACAACCCACCCCCCCCCCCGATGGCTATTGTACTCTCTCCACCATCCCAGGTCCCCACTCGGTCCCCGCCCTTCACGCCGGCTTGTGCCAGCCCTCACAAGTCGGGCAATATTGTGTGGAATGCACCACGTGGTGGTGGCGCCGCCGTTTGTTGTTGTTGTTGTTGACCCTGGCCATTGACCGAGCAACCCGGCGTTCCTTACCAGCTCCCGCCCTCCGCGGGAGAACGTGTTTTCTTGCTGTGGTCGTGTCACCTGACGACGATTTGCTTGTGTTGCCATCGAGATGTCGTGATCTGTTATTTTTACTTTATGCCCCCGTGATGACTTTACCGAAAGAACCAAAGAGTATGGATTCCTGCAGTCACGAAAGCTTCAAATCGAGATCACCGCACTCCTTTCATTGTCCATAAGGTTAACAAGCAACAGCCGCTTTGATTCAACCGGACGTTTGCCCTCGTAGTTGGCCGCGAGCATTTAACATTTAAAAATAGGTGGGGGGGGGAAACATGTATGAATATTATTACAATTATGTCAATAACACGAATAGGGCCACGATCGGCGGGACCTGGAGCATTATTTGAAATGAAATCTTGAATTGTCATGGCGAGGCGAGCCCGTGCAGAAATTTTCAGCATCGATAGGCTTCGTAGATACGAAGTGTCGAAACGTTGGAAAGAATATAAAGACGACACCAGTTCAATGAAAGTGTGGGATAAAAACAAGAGGGCGTGGGGAAAAATCCACGTGACCACATGGAGAGAGAGAGAAATGCAAATTCCACACACAACAACTCATCCAAATATACAGCAGCAGGTGTCAGGGTCGGGATCGACCCCACGACCTCCTGTACACCAAGTGAGGTAGTTAACACGGCGCATTCATCGCGGTCCCTCGACTTGGGTATAATGATGTATTCACCACGGTCCTTTGCATCAGACCCGATGGAAAGGTGGTGTGTTCACCGCGGTCCCTTCGAGTCACGGTGAAGTGCTGGTAACAAAAGGAAAGTTTGTGGGGATTCATAGCCATTTTATATACTTTTTAGGCATAAGCAAAAAAAATATACCACTTAGTACCCAGGAACAAAAATTGTGTTGCATAGTGTTAAAATCACCGCGGTCACTTCAATCCACTGTTTAATTTATTTACCACGGTCCCTTCAAAACACCGTGTAATTTATTCACCGCGGTCCCTTCAATCCACCGTTTAATTTATTCACCGCGATCCCTTCAATCCACTGTGCAATTTATTCACCGCGGTCCCTTCAATCAACTGTAATTTATTCATCGCGGTCCCTTCCATCCACTGTGTAATTTATTCACCGCGGTCCCTTCAATCCACTGTGTAATTTATTCACCGCGGTCCCTTCAATCCACTGTGTAATTCATTCACCGCGGGTCCCTTCAATCCACGCGTGTAATTCATTCACCGCGGGTCCCTTCAATCCACGCGTGTAATTCATTCACCGCGGGTCCCTTCAATCCACGCGTGTAATTCATTCACCGCGGTCCCTTCTCCCTACTGCGCTCGCCTGCGTATTCACCGCGGCCCCTTGCGCCTACTGTACAAAGTGCATTCGCCGCATGGAGATGCGGTTCACCCTCCGACTCGTGGTAAACACTTCTCACCTGGACACTTCTCACCTGGACACTTCTCACCTGGACACTTCTCACCTGGACACTGCTCACCTTTACACTTCTCACCTGGACACTGCTCACCTGCACATAAACTCCACACCACTCACCGTCTGCCGTCTCAGCGTCTCAGCCGTCGTCACCTTGCTCAATTCAATAGAAGCGTTGCCGTAAGCCGTTCATGTTTAAAACTCTTGACAGTGGTTCACATTACTCTTTGGTTCTATTCGGTAAAGTCACGTAGGTAAAAAAATAAAACAACAAAAATCACGACGTTTCGGCCACAACACAAGCGGCCTTCATCAGGTGAAGGGACCGGGCTGTCCTCGAGACAGTCTGTCCTCGAGACAGTCTGGACCCTTCACCTGATGAAGACCGCTTGTGTTGTGGCCGAAACGTCGTGAATATGGTTCCTTGCAGTCACGAAAGTTTTAAATCTAGAAGTGGTTCATTTTCCCGGTGCTTTCGGTAAAGTCACCACCACGTAGAAGGGAAACGATGAAATAATAAAAAAATATAAAGCAATACAATTCTCACGACGTTTCGACTGCAGCACGACGTTTCGACTGCAGCACGACGTTTCGACTTTTACCGAAAGGACCAAGAATATGAATCCCTGCAGTCACGAAAGCTTTAAATCAAAATCTTGACAGTGCTGTTGGTTGCTAGCCGCTTGTCGTTCTGTGGGGAGGAGGAGTGGAGGGGGGGTTGAGAATAGAGACGGGGCCAGAACTCCGCACCCCCGATCAACAACGGCTTGCTCGCTACGTACGGTGCGAAGGAAGTTCAGCCAACATGCATGGCTGGCATACTCTTTGGTTCTATTCGGTAAAGTCACGTAAAAAAACAACAACAAATAAATAAATTCACGACGTTTCGGCCACAACACAAGTGGCCTTCATCAAGGTGATGATGGCGAAGATGATCTTTTAAAGGTCGCGGTCTGAGCTTGGCTCTGTTTCACTCCAGCGCTGTCCTCTTAAGACAGTCTGGTCCCTTCACCTGATGGAGGCCGCTTGTGTTGTGGCCGAAACGTCGTGAATTTTTTGTTGTTTTTTTACGTGACTTTACCGAATAGAACCAAAGAGTTTGGATCCTTGCAGTCACGAAAGCTTCAAATCTAGAATGCATGGCTGCGTTGTGTGCGGCAGAGTGTGACGGTCGTGCATCAACACATCAAGTCGCAGGGTTCGGTTCCTGACTAAGGCGGCACCCCCCACCACCACCTCTCTCTCTCTCACTGTGTGGTGTGTGTGTATGGTGTGTGTGTGTGTTGTGTATGTTGTGTGTGTGTTGTGTATGGTGTGTGTGTTTAGTTGTGTGTGTGGTGTGTTGTGTATGGTGTGTGTTGTGTATGGTGTGTGTGAGTTGTGTGTGTGTTGTGTATGGTGTGTGTTGTGTGTTGAGTTGTGTGTGTTGTGTATGGTGTGTGTTGTGTGTTGAGTTGTGTGTGTGTTGTGTATGGTGTGTGTGTTGTGTGTTGAGTTGTGTGTGTTGTGTATGGTGTGTGTGTTGAGTTGTGTGTGTTGTGTGTATGGTGTGTGTTGTGTATGGTGTGTGTGTGTTGTGTGTTGAGTTGTGTGTGTTGTGTATGGTGTGTGTGTGTTGTGTGTATGGTGTGTGTTGTGTATGGTGTGTGTGTGTGTGTTGTGTGTTGAGTTGTGTGTGTTGTGTATGGTGTGTGTGTGTTGAGTTGTGTGTGTTGTGTATGGTGTGTGTGTGTGTTGTGTATGGTGTGTGTGTTGAGTTGTGTGTGTTGTGTATGGTGTGTGTGTGTTGTGTATGGTGTGTGTGTTGTGTGTTGAGTTGTGTGTGTGTTGTGTATGGTGTGTGTGTTGTGTGTGTGTGGTGTTGAGTTGTGTGGGGAGCGATGGCGTACTTCGCCCGGCAAATATCCGAGTTCGATTCCCGCTCACGGCCACCAACAGCAGCAGTGATTGTCTGAACCGGTCCTGGACCCCCCTCCACCTCCCACGTGTCGTCTCAAGGCTTAAATGAGCAGCCTGTTGCGATGTGTAAACACCGCCACTCGGGGAGACAAAGGCGGCCGGGCGTGTGCCCTGTTGGCCGTCAAAGATGCTCGCTAACAGCACTTGCCCCAACAGCCTGTATATAGGGGTTCTGTATGGGTTTCCTCCGGTTTTTCTCCTATAAAAGGCACAATGTAACCGGTTAAAACATTCCACTCATTAAAAAATTACCTTCAATTAGCGTCACACGCAGCAGCAGCAGCAACAGCAACATCGCCCCAACTGCGAAAACGTTGACCGGACCCTCCTGTGAAAGTCTCCGCCTCGAATGAGTACCCTGGTGCGGTGTGTCAACTTCGCCACTGGGGAGACAAAGGCGGCCGGGCGTTGTTGCTGGCCACCCACCCCACCACCCTCGTGCGCCGTGCCGACCTTCGTAGGTGCTGCTCGCAAACTGCACTTGCCCGTACAGGCTGTTAAGGCTACGGGGGGGGGGGGCCTCTTTATCTTTGTGTGTGTGTGTAGGTCCTCAGCATGAGCGGTGGTCCCATCTGCTCCCGGTTCTTCTCGGTGACTCCACTGAACTGCAAAGCCAAATCGCGCGGAGCGCTGAGTAAGTATCACGGACGCACGTGGGCGGGACAGTGGAAGCGATGCCTGATCATCTCCATGCATGTGAAAGGCAAAGTTGTGAACATGTGTGTGTCTGTTCAAAATGTTTAGCGTACTTCCCGACATGCAACAAACTTGAAATTTGCCATGTGGGTACTTTCCAGACTGCTACACCATGCAAAAATTATAAAAATACACTTTTTTTGGGGGGGTGGGGGGGGGAGCTCAATAATGCATTTATTTTTTGCACGGCAAGTAAGCTGTGACGTCAAATCTGTCACGTGACCCGCGCATGTGGAAGCGTAACGCATTGTAGTGTAGTGGTTAGCGCTACGCTGTGCTACGAACCCGGCGACCCGAGTTCGATTCCTGCTCACGGCCACCGCCGGTGACGATTATTTCAACCGCTCCTGGGCCTCCCCTAGGTCGACTCAGCCTCAAACGAGTAACTGCTGTGGTGTGTGAACATCACCTCTGGGGAGACAAAAGCGGCCGGGCGTGGTGAATCCAAGTCTTGGGCGAGGCCGGGTAGGAAAGCTAGTTATAATAGATTCATTAATGTGAACAAGAAAGTCCCCCGTGTTCTCCTGCTGCCCTAACGAGCGTTGAGACGTTGCCGTTCATCCTCCTGGTGGGAATTACACATTCCTGTGACAAGGGTGAGTCTGTCCATAGGACGACCGCTGTTGACTTGCACACAAAGTGGATAAAGTTTATCGGCCCCCTGAATAATGATGGGCAGAGTCAGCCGCCTCAATCGGGATTATTAAATAAGAACGTTATGGCGGGACCCCGGGGGTCCCGAATGGAAGGAATTGATAAATCGTAATTAATGAAACAAATATTTTTTGGCGACTCTGTCCCACCGCGCGCACACAAATGGCCGCGACCCACCGTAAATAAACCCTCGCGTTCTTCACCAGCCACCCGTCGTTGCCAAAATTGCCGTAGTCGCAAACAAAACTTTGAAACTTTGATCGGCGCGTCGTGTAGAGCTCGTCGAGAGGAAAAGGTGGCCGTGTCGTTCGCCTTCAACAGGCACGAGATGACGTCGCAGCGCAGTTTATGCGAGAGCCGGGGGCTTATGGGACCCCGGGGTCCCACCATAAGGTTCACGATGAACCCGCAACCTTCGGGCTGAGAGAGACGCTCGCTACCGCTGAGCCTGTGTTGGCTATTTGAGTTAAACCACGCGGATGTTGCAGGGGGATTGATCTATGACGCAGGAGGGCAGTGGTCTTCATCGCAAGACCCGCGGGCCACAGGCGGCCCCTGGTGGCCTTTAGTGCGGCCCCCCCGACAGTACGCAAATGGGAAAACGCCCCAACATTGTGCGGCCACCCTCACACCGATGTCGTTTCGGCGAAAGCGCCCCCCCTCTGAGAACGAGTGAAGAAAACTGCCGTAGGGGATTGAAGCCTCATTGGACCCCCGATGACGATGCCACACCCCCTCCTCCCCCCCCCCCACGTCTATACGACCCTGCACCTTTATCAGGTGAATGTCCGTGGGCGTGCGAGCGAGTTTTACAGCTCCCTGGTTTAAACTTTCAAGTGCACTTCACACTTGTGAGGCCGTTACAGTACTTTGTGAATGCGTCTGTCACAGAGAGCGGGGTGGGGGGGGGGGTCCCCTTTCTACAGTGTCAGCATCTGGTGGTTCACCAGCATTGGTTGAAGCAAGCCTGACTGGTCCTTGCCGATACACATCTGGAAGTTCACCAACATCGGTGCAAGCTAGCCCAACTGCTGCTGATGAGACACTGCGTGTTAAAAACCAGTCATTCATCGCCTCAACAGCTAGCGTTTGACTAGCATTGGTGCACGTGTAGTGCCGTAGATGGGCCGCACTTACTTGCAGTGGTAGACGGGGCCCATCTGCAGGACCCTGGACCCCCTCGCCCCGCTGTCCTTGTAAGGACTGGGACGCTGTGGGGGCCGGTGGTGGGACTCTGGGCCAGTGGTGGGACTCTGGGCCAGTGGTGGGACTCTGGGTCATTGGTGGGACTCTGGGCTGGTGGTGGGACTTTGGGTCAGTGGTGGGACTCTGGGTCAGTGGTGGGACTCAGGGCCAGTGGTGGGACTCTGGGCCAGTGGTGGGACTCTGGGCCAGTGATGGGATTCTGGGTCAGTGGTGGGACTCTGGGCCAGTGGTGGGACTCTGGGCCAGTGGTGGGACTCTGGGCCAGTGGTGGGACTCTGGGTCAGTGGTGGGACTCTGGGCCAGTGGTGGGACTCTGGGCCAGTGGTGGGACTCTGGGCCAGTGGTGGGACTCTGGGTCATTGGTGGGACTCTGGGCCGGTGGTGGGACTCTGGGCCGGTGGTGGGACTCTGGGCCAGTGGTGGGACTCTGGACCAGTGGTGGGACTCTGGGTCAGTAGTGGGACTCTGGGCCGGTGGTGGGACTCTGGGCCGGTGGTGGGACTCTGGGCCAGTGGTGGGACTCTGGACCAGTGGTGGAACTCTGGGACTCCCGGCCCCATGCCCATGTAAGGGCGTGGAGCCGAGGAGGCCAGAGGTCTGGACCCGCACCTTGGCTGGGTGGGGTCAGGGGTAGCCTCCCCTAGGGTAATTATAGCCGGAGGACCCCAGAGCGTAGCCAGTGTCAGGCACGCTAGAAATAGGCAGTGTCCCTAGGCTGTATCAGGACTGTTGGCGTGGTGTGTTGTAATAAAGAGTCGCCTCTTCAAGTGTCTTCATGAACCCATTAAACACGCAAGCCTGACTGTGCTGCTTATGAGACACTGAATGCCGAAGTCAATCTTTTCCTCGAAATATCTGGCAGTTCACGAGCATTGGCTCAAGCAAGCCTGGCTGATGCTGGTGAGCCACTGAATGTTGAAAACCAGCCCAGAGTTCGGCTTGTGTTGAATCCAATGCTGCTGGAATTGTGCACTACCAAACAAAACCGTGGAGCTCATGGGATGTGTAAAAACATGCTTTCATTTTTTCTATGTGGAGGCAGAGATCTTCCACTGAAATCTTGTAGCGTAAGGTTCGGTCAGAGCTGACTAACACTTTTCGGTACAAATGTTGGACAATACCATGCACAGTGGATACACTGTCGTGGTAGCGTCAGTGGCATGACGGCGAGATGTTACCTCCCTTGCTTGCTTGCAGGAAGTCGTGGGTTCGATCCCGACCCTGATGCCTATATATTAGGAGGTTGCATGTTCTCCCTGTGGTCATGTGGATCTTTCTCCGGATTCTCCAGTTTTTTTCCTCCACATTTAGAAACATGCTTTGAGACTATTTCGGCTGCTATACGTTTCCACACGATAAACCACTTTATTGAGCTATCATTTGTGGCCAGGTCGCTTCTGAAAAAGAGCCACATAACTGAGTGGGTCTTTCCTGGTAAAATAAAAACAAATAGTTTATAGATATTGTTATGGCAGCGTCGATGCGTTGATTGAGTGGATGGTCACATAGGCCACCGGTCGCGCGGTTCGCCGCTTGTTGCGGAGGTTCGCGGTTCGAATCTGGCAGGCCGCCCTGGTTAACACTGCCGTGTGAATTATCCACAAACTGCTTATGATGCCATTTGCTTACAGCGGATGTTAAAGATCCCTAATGGCTTTGGGAAAGAGTAGGCCATGGCGTGGCAGTGTTATGATCCAAATTTAATAAAATTCACCGCAAATTCACTCAGTTTGGAAAGACGCAGCGACATTGCCTCCGGATGTGAAACTACGGTGGTACGTTACAAGTTGATACCGTTAATATTCTTGTTTTTATGCCTTGCAGGAAAATATGCAGCTCTAGCAGGATCAGTGCTTGCAGGGTAAGATGGCTGTTCAATTCCTGTTATTTGTATGATGTCCGTGAAGATAACTCACTCTGGGTGCTGTTTCTATCAAGTGAAAATATTATTTGTATTATATTAGTGTATTGACTAACTCGGAGACGATAAGATTTGGAGGCACTTTATCAACGAGCACCATCGGGGCTCGCAGTCAGAACAGTCGGTAGGTTGCCTGGCTGGGTAGCGCCCCGAGATGGTGAAGACGAAGACGACGACGAGAAGAACGGCGACGAAGACTTGAGCAGCACGACGGGGATCCCACTCCAACAACAGCCCCGAGGTCCCCTACAGGGGGGCCCCTCTTATGCTGTCAGCGTGGCCTGGCTCCGCCCCCGGGCACGCCCCCTTTCTGGAACCTACCGGCGGGTTCCTGGTGTGCCCCTTCTGTGACCTTTCCCCCAGATCCCCCTCTCGTGTAGAGCCTGGCCTGCTGTCGGTCAGGGCTGCCGTACGCCGCAGATACCCTTACCTGCCAGCAGCCAGCGCTATGCCACTACGCTATGCCACTAATTTAGCTTTTGGGTGGTTCAGCGGTACACACACAGGACGAGTGTAACGTGTGTACACACGGCGCTGTGTGTGTTGTACCATGTGGATGCAGCACCTGTATGGATTGTGTGTGTGTGGCTGTGTTGTGTGTGTGCCTGTACACATGGGCTGTGTGTTGTGTGTATGTCTTTGTGTACTGGCTGTGTTGTGTGTATGTATGCTGGCTGTGTTGTGTGTGTGTGTGTGTACGCATGTATATTGGCTTGGCTGTTGTGTTGTGTGTGTATGCACCTATGCTGCCTGTGTTGTGTGTGTGTGTACACCGGCTGTGTGGCACGACGTGCGTACACGCAGAGGCTGCGTGTTCGTCACGTACGAGGCCGCGTCGCTGCGCTTGGCCCTGCAGATCCGGACGGCGGCCGTGGACGTTGAGAAGCTCAAGTCGTACATCTACATTGACACGGAGCCACCGCTGCCTCTCGGGAACCAGGGTCCGCTTGCTGCGCTCACTTGCGGGGATTCTTCTCGAGAACTGGGGGGGAGTGGTGGAGGCGTGGGAGGTTGGGCTGGGCGGGGCCGTGGTCAGGAATATTATTAAGCCGTCCCTGAATTTAAACTCCCCAAGTTGGCCTGCGGCCACATCTGCAACACTAAAATCATCCCTGCTGCTGCTGCTGCTGCACCGATTTGAGTCCACGCTTCTGTTACCTCGACTCAACGTGGACGTTTGATGTCTGCCCGTCGAGTCGCCCTTGAGAAAGAGCTTGGCTTTACTCAGGAAATAAACTTCTGATTCTGATTCATATCAATCTCTCGATGCCCCACCCCTTCCTTTTTAGACCGCCTCCTCTTAATGCCCCACCCTATTACTCTTTTGGCTCCCGGCGTCTTTCACTTTTGGGTCCCACCCCCTTGTCCTTTAGGCCCCGCGTCTTTCCGTTCAGACGCCGCCCATTCGGCATTGAGCCGTCATCTGTTCCGCGGGCCGCACACTCGCCCACCGTGACATTCTGCTTCATGTCTTGGGATCAAAGTGGCAGAGGAGGTTGGTGGTGGTGGTCGTGATGAATCTGAACGCCGTGTCTATGATGTGTGCAGGTCTGCCCGAGCGTGTGAGGGCTGGCCTGCACAGGCTGCGGCGGAGGCTCTACGAGGCCACGCTCGGGAGGCTGTGGAAGCCGCTGGATGGTGAGTCTCTCCCAGAGTGCAACGAGCTTGAAAAAATATTGAGCGTGCAGTCCGAGTTCACTCAGAGGGGACCCGGCGGGTCAGAGGTCAGAGCTCCGAGCTGGAACCGCCGATATCCTCGATTTGGGCCCAGGATCATGGCCAGCGCTTAAACCAGGTTCTGAAATGTGGTAAGTTGGTGGTCTCAACCCAGTCGATGACAACTGCACAAAAATGAGAGTGACTTTGGTTTTTGGCCAAATTTCAATAAATTCTGCCAAGTTGTAGGTCTGCGAATTTCAATCAGGGTCCCCTGCTTGCGGGTCGCGCCTGGTCCCCGACGGGAGTCTCGAGAGTCCTGTTGCAACCTGGCGAGACCGCTGCTGCTCGTGGATGTTGACTCCCCATCCCCCCCCCCTCGCCATCTTCCCTCGCACTGCCCCCTTTCCGTGCCTCCAGACATTCTTCCTGGCGCCAACGAGGACGACAGGAGGCTGTGGCAGCTGCTGCAGAAATCCCGCTCTGCCCAGCGGTCGGAGAGGCTCCAGGCCGTGCAGGAACTGGCGTCCGCCCACCACTGGCCCGGTACCGGCACCGCCCCCGGCACGACGCTCGCGTTCCAGGCCCCGCGACGTTCGTCGGCACGTCTGTGCGTTTCGCGACGCGTGGCGACGACGGCGACGACGGTGACGATGGTGACCATGGCGACGACGACGGCGACGACGGTGACCACGGCGACGCGTGGCGACGACGGTGACCATGGCGACGCGTGGCGACGATGTTGCAGATTACCAGTACAGGAACGTGGCCCAGGCAAGCGATGCGCGGACCCTGGTCGGCCTGGCTCGATCCCGGGACGTGGACTTGAGATTTTTCCTCCCTCCTGCCCCTCCGCTTCGTTCCGACACCGTGAGCTCCCTCGCACCTCGCGCGCCCCCCCCCCCCTCTCGCATCCCGCATCCGCCGGTCGTCTCGGCCTGTTCCTGTGACCTGGCGGCAGTGAGCCTTCACTTAGTGTGAAGGTGCAAAAAGACAAAGGGCCCCCCGTATAACCTTGAATAGGCTGTTCGGGCAAGTGCTGTTAAGCGAGTGGTACCTCATGAGGCCACCTTTGCCAGTACCAAAATATAAGAATAGGTTTTTTTTTAGACGTTTTCCTGGCAACAAAACTGAAACCGTTTTTTTTTTTTACGAGGAATCATGTTTACATTAACCACAATACCTGCGGTAAAAATGCAAACAAAAAACACACTGATAATGTAGGCATTGTCCTTGAAACTGATTGGTCCACACCAGAGGCGGCTTTCTTTAGAGCCTAGTCTCAAACGGTGTTCGACCAGATGACGCCAAAAGGCGTCACACAACTCCAAGACAACGCACTATCCGAGTAATGAGGGCTCGGGGTGAGCATTTACATCATGAGGCCTCCTTTGCCAGCACCAAAATATACTAATAGGGTTTTTCCCCTTTTTTCTGGAAACAAAACTGAAACCTTTTTTTTACAAGGATTCATGTTACTGCATTAACCACAATACCTGCAGTCAAAATGCAAACAAAAAAACATACTATGATAATATATGTGGCATTGTCCTTGAAACTGATTGGTCCACACCAGAGACAGCTTTCTTTAGAGCCTGGTCTCAATTGGTGCTAGACCAGATGACGCCACAAGGCGTCACACAACTCCAAAGACAACGCACGATCAGAGTAATGAGGGCTCGGGGTAAGCCTCTACATCATGAGGCCTCCTTTGCCAGCACCAAAATATAATAATAGGGTTTTTTTTCCCCTTTTTTCTGGCAACAAAACTGAAACTCTGATCGTGCGTTGGCCTTTGAGTTGTGCGCCTTTTGGCGTCATCTGGTCGAACGCCGTATGAGGCTAGGCTCTAAGGACCAATCAATTTCAAGGACAATGCATACATTATCAGAGCGCGTTTTTTTTTTTGCATTTTGACCGCAGGTATTGCAGTTAATGTAGACGTGATTCCTGGTGAAAAAAAGGTTTCACTTTTGTTGCCAGTAAAAAAAAAAGGGGATGAAACCTATTATTACGAGTGGCACCTATGAAGGCCGACACGGCGCACCAGGGGGGCGGGTGGCCAAAGCCACGCCCGGCCGCCTGTCATGGTGCCCCTAGCTGACACAAGCACGGGGGTGATGTCACCACCACTTGGTGTCGAATGGCGAGTCTTGCTGGCGGCGCCGGTGGCGGTGGCTGTAGTGGCTACGGCGGTTGTGGTGGTGATGGTGGCGGCGGTGGTTGCGGTGGCTGTGGTGTTTGCGGCTGTTGTTTTGGTGGCGGTGGTCATGGTGTTGCTGCTGGCATTTGTGGTGGTAGCGGCAATGGTGGTGATGATTTGCTGTGTTGTTGGTGGTGCTTCGGCGGCGGTGGTGGCGGTGGCGGCGGCGGTGGCGGTGACTCGGTGGCGCGGCGGCCTGCAGGGCCCTTCGCCTGCCTTGGCGGAGGAGCTGCGAGCCCTGGTGGCTGCTCTGCCCCAGCGGAGTGAGGACTCGTGTCTGCACTACTTCACATCGCTGGCGCTCAGGGACGGCTACGAGCACGTGGAGGCGCAGAGGGTACGGCTGCCCACACCACCGCGGCCCACGGCATCGTCGTTACACCTCGCCACAGTGGCGAGGAGATGGTAACGACGACGCCTGGTATACAGGAGGTTGTGGGTTTGATCCCACCACTGACATCTGTTTATTTGGAGTTTGCATGTTCTCGCTCTCTCTCTCTCTTGCAGTGGTCGCGTGGATTTTCCTGCAGTCCTCCAATTTTACCCTCCGCATTTAGAAACATGTGCTTAGAGTATTTGACTGCTGCTGTAAATGTCCACGTGATAAGCCACTTTGTCGAGCTATCATTTGTGGCCAGGTCTCTTCTGAAAAAGAAGTAAATAACTCATTGGGCCTTAACTGGTGAGATACAAACTAGTTTAAATAGTTTACTTTAAAATACTCCCACGCTGGCTTACTCGGGAAAGCCTCGCTGAGTCTCAAGACTCATTTTCAGGAGGGTCTTGCCAAGTGTATTTTTGCGGTAGGGAGGGGTCACATTGTTGCTGCTGCTGCTGCTGCTTCTACTTCTGCTTCGTAATCCCATTTGAGAAATTCGCAGGTAATTTTTTCAGCATTGGGATGTTTGGCCGATACCGGTAAATACTGCGTGGATTTGTTTTTAGCGATGGGAACAATCTAGAAACTGAAGACACCTAGTGGAAAGCCATGCAGAGCAGGGAAAGAGAATAAAAACTCCACTCACTCACACACTCTCTGTAGAACAGGGGGAGAACATGTAAACTCCACTCACTCAGACAGACTCACACACAGACACACACTCATTAACAACAACAACAACAACAAACGCAATTCGCCACTAAGTGGCGGTGACGTCACCACGACGCTTGTGCCAGGCCACACTCATTAACGCACTCTTACACACACACACTCTTTATAGAATAGGAGAACAGGCAAACTCTATTCACACGTGCATTAACACAAAAACAAAAAACTAACTATTTTGATTTTAATCTCGATTTGAAGCTTTCGTGACTGCAGGAATCCATACTCTGTGGTTCTTTCGGTAAAGTCACGTAGGGTATAAAATAAAACAAATCACGACGTTTCGGGATCAACACACGGACGCTTGTGTTGCGCCCGAAACGTCGTGATTTATTTTATTTTATACTCTACGTGACTTTACTGAAAGAGCCAAAGAATATTTTGATTGTACAAGGTAATGCCCACTTAGCTCTAGAGCTCTTTTTCAGGCGCGACCCGAGTGGTGGGTAGTGGTCGTGGTGGGTCGTGGTGGTGGGTGGTGGTGCGTGGTGGGTTGGTAGTGGTGAGTTGGTGGTGGTGGTGGATTGTCGTGGTGGTGGGTGGTGGTGCGTGGTGGGTTGGTAGTGGTGAGTTGGTGGTGGTGGTGGTGGATTGTCGTGGTGATGGGAGGTGGTGCGTGGTGGGTTGGTAGTGGTGAGTTGGTGGTGGTGGTGGTGGATTGTCGTGGTGATGGGAGGTGGTGCCGAGTGTGGCGGTGGCAGTGGCACGTCCCGTAGCCTGCGATGGCTCTGTTGTTCCCCGGTGCGCAGGATGGCCCGGGCTGCTTTGAGACGAGCGAGTTCCTCTACGCGCAGACGCTCAGCTCGCTGGCTCCCGAACGCGCCGAGGCCTTCTGCCTGCACGCTCTCCTGCACCACTCCATGGTGAGCGCCGGAGAATGCGCATGCGGTGGGCGGTGGTGTGTGGTGTGTGGTTGGGTGGTGGGGGGTTGGGGGGTTGAGGGGGTAGGTTGTTGGGGGGTGGAGGTTGGAGGGGGGGGGTAGGAGGTGTGGGAGGTGTAGGGGGTGGTGGGGGTACCACTCGATCCACGCGGTAGGCGGGAACCAACCCGCTTGCTGTACTGCCATTGCACACGTGGCCGTAAGCCGAGAGACGGCGGCGACGTGGCAGCCCTCGGTGATGTGGGCGCTGCCGTGCCCCTTCGCCAGCCTGCACAGGTCGACCCCCTCCCCACCTTGCATCATGCTAAGTCCGCCTATTGAATGCAAATTTTTATGCTAATTCTCTTTGTCAAGGCACCTTAATTACTCTCACACAGCTAAAAAGGTCGCGGTCTGAGCTTGGCTGTGTTTCACTCCAGCGCTGTCCTCGAGAGACAGTCTGGTCCCTTCACCTGACGAAGGCCGCTTGTGTTGTGGCCGAAACGTCGTCATTTTTGTCGTTTCATTTTTTCACCTACTACGTGACGTTACCGAATAGAACCAAAGAGTGTGGATCCTTGCAGTCACGAAAGCTTCAAATCTAGGATCGCAACAATGTCGAGTGAGTGGGTGAGCGAGTGGGTGGGCGGGCGAACGGACGGGGCGGGCGAGCGATTGAGCCAGCTCCCGAGCAAATGTGGTCCCGCCTCCACCTCCGTAGGTCCCGGGCCACGGTAAGCTCATGGTGGACCGTGGTGCCTTGCGGCTGCTGCTGAGGCTGTACCTGGCGAGGCGCGACCCGGCACACAAGGCGCAGCGCCGGGTCACTCGCATCCTGGGCAACCTGGCCGCGTGCCCGGAGCTGCACGGACAGATCCACCAATCCGGTGAGCGCGCGCGGGGGAACGACTCGCCCTGCACGCTTCGCCTCGCGGCGCAACCAGCCGGTGCTCGGGGACAGCTACGGGCACGCGGGGGGCGCCGACGGTACCGGCCCGCCCACACCGCCACGGCCCCGCGGCATCGTCGGTAGCATCTCGGCACGGTGGCTCGGAGATGTTAACTCGCTCGCCCGGTACGCAGGAGGTCCTCGGTTTTATCCCGGCCCTGACGCCTGCTGCTGTATATTTGGAGTCTGCGTGTCTCTCTCATCATCATCATCATCATCACGGTGGCTATAAGATGTTAACTACCTCGCCTGGTATACAGGAGGTCATGGGTTCGATCCAGATCCCTGACGCCTGCTGCTGTATATTTGGAGTCTGCGTATCTCTCTCTCTCTCTCATCATCACGGTGGCTAGGAGATGTTAACTACCTCGCCTGGTATACAGGAGGTCGTGGGTTCGATCCCGACCCTGACGCCTGCTGCTGCTGTATATTTGGAGTTTGCGTGCCTCTCTCCCTGCGGTCATGTGGATTTTTCTCCGGGTCTCCTCCGGTTTTTTTCCCTCCACAATTAGAATCGACGTGCGTTCGGATTACTTGGCTGCTTCGTTGGGTTATCATTTGTGGCCAGGTTGCTGTTGATAAAGAGTTGCATAGCTCAGTAGGCCTTACATGATAAAATTAAAAAAGTAGTTTAATAGTAGTTCAGTAGTGTGCGATACTGACGGTGCTGCCCGTGATACTGCTGGCGCTGTGCGTGACGGGGCTGCAGGCTGGCTGCGGCTGCTGGTGGAGATGTCTCAGAGCCCCCAGGTGGTGCAGGCGTGCCACGCAGCGCGGGCTCTCGCCAACCTGGACCGGGAGACGGCGCACGGCACCCTGGTCGATGGAATGTTCCTGCTGTACCCTCTACATCGCAGCAGGTGACTGCTGCAGCGCCGCTGCACCACAGCGCCGCTGCACCACAGCACCACAGCACCACTGCACCACTGCACCACAGCTCCACTTCACCACTTCACCACTGCACCACAGCACCACTACACCACAGCGCCGCTGCACCACAGCACCACTGCACCACTGCACCACTGCACCACAGCTCCACTTCACCACTGCACCACAGCTCCACTGCACCACAGCTCCACTGCCCAACTGCACCACTGCACCACAGCTCCACTGCACCACTGCACCACTGCACCACTGCACCACAGCACCACAACACCACTGCACCACAGCACCACTGCACCACTTCACCACTGCACCGCAGCACCACTTCGCCACTGCACCACAGCACCACTGTGCCACTGCACCACAACACCACTGCACCACTGCACCACTTCACCACTGCACCGCAGCACCACTTCGCCACTGCACCGCAGCTCCACTGCACCACAGCGCCACTGCACCACAGCATCGCAGCACCGCAGATCCTTCAGGGTAGTGTTGGTGTGATCTCCACTGAGGAGGTGGTGGTGGCGGTGGTGGTTTTTGGTGCGTTCACCAATGAGGTGGCAGTAGTGGCGGTGGCGGTGGTGGTGGTGTGTTCGTTCATCAGTGAGGGGAGGTGGCAGTGGTGGCGGTGGTGGTGGTGTGTTCGTTCACCAGTGAGGAGGTGGCAGTGGTGGCGGTGGCGGTGGTGGTGGTGTGTTCGTTCATCAGTGAGGGGAGGTGGCAGTGGTGGCGGTGGTGGTGGTGTGTTCGTTCACCAGTGAGGAGGTGGCAGTGGTGGCGGTGGCGGTGGTGGCTGTGTGTTCGTTCACCAGTGAGGAGGTGGCAGTGGTGGCGGTGGTGGTGGTGGTGTGTTCGTTCACCAGTGAGGTGGCAGTGGTGGCGGTGGCGGTGGTGTGTTCGTTCACCAGTGAGAAGGTGGCAGTGGTGGCGGTGGCGGTGGTGGTGGTGTGTTCGTTCACCAGTGAGGAGGTGGCAGTGGTGACGGTGGCGGTGGTGTGTTCGTTCACCAGTGAGAAGGTGGCAGTGGTGGCGGTGGCGGTGGTGGTGGTGTGTTCGTTCACCAGTGTGGTGGCAGTGGTGGTGGTGGTGGCGGTGGTGGTGGTGGTGTGTTCGTTCACCAGTGAGGAGGTGGCAGTGATGGCGGTGGCGGTGGTGGTGGCGGTGTGTTCGATCACCAGTGAGGAGGTGGCGGTTGTGGTGGCGTTGGTGTGTTGTTCACCAGTGAGGTGGCGGTGGTGGTGTGTTTGTTCACCAGTGATGAGGTGGTAGTGGTGGTGGTGTGTTCACCAGTGATGAGGTGGCAGTGGTGGTGGTGTGTTCACCAGTGAGAAGGTGGCAGTGGTGGCGGTGGTGGTGGTGTGTTCGTTCACCAGTTAGGAGGTGGCAGTGGTGGCGGTGGCGGTGGTGGTGGCGGTGTGTTGGTTCACCAGTGAGGTGGCAGTGGTGGTGGTGGTGGTGGCGGTGGTGGTGGTGGTGGTGTGTTCGTTCACCAGTGAGGAGGTGGCAGTGATGGCGGTGGCGGTGGTGGTGGCGGTGTGTTCGTTCACCAGTGAGGAGGTGGCGGTTGTGGTGGCGTTGGTGTGTTGTTCACCAGTGAGGTGGCGGTGGTGGTGGTGTGTTTGTTCACCAGTGATGAGGTGGCAGTGGTGGTGGTGTGTTCACCAGTGAGGAGGTGGCGGCTGTGGTGGCGTTGGTGTGTTGTTCACCAGTGAGGCGGTGGTAGTGCTGGTGATAGTGGCGGTTGGTTGTCCACCTGTGAAGTGGTGGTGGCCGCGTTGATTTATTCACCAGTGAGGAGGTGTCGGCGGATGTGCTCTTTGTGCACGGCCTCCTGGGAGGTGGTTTCAAGACGTGGCGCCAGCAGGACGTGGAGGCGGCTCCCCCCAAGGAGGGCCCCGAGAGCGAGGCCTACACCCACTGCTGGCCCAAGGTCGCCACCCCGTGCCCGTGCAGGCAGGAGTGCCCACTCACTAACAACACTGACTAACACTGACTAACACTCGCTCGCCAACACTCACTCTCACCAACACTCGCAATCGCTTACTCACTATCACTCTCTGACACTCACACTCACTCACTCTTACGCCCGCATACTCTCACAGTCGCTTACTCCCACAACAACAGCCGCCATTCGCCACTAAGTGGCGGTGACGTCACCACGACGCTTGTGCCAGGCTATGTGCACCCTGAGGCCACGTAAAGTGTCGAACGCCCGCTGGCAGGAGGTCACGGGGCAGACCCAGGTGCCACGGGTCGACTGACTGAGACGACTGGCTGATGCACCACCTGTGCCCCCTGCTGTGCCAACCTGCTATGCTTTAGCCACCCGGCGCTCCGCTCATTGTTGTGAGCATCGCTCCTCTGCCCTCCGTTGTTGCTGGAGGGCGACTGCCTCCAACTCACCAGTAACGTCCTTCACGAGCCTCCTCCACAGAGGCCGATCTTGACACCGCTGGTACCAGTCATCGGCATTTCCACTCAGCTCCACATCCTCCATCTCTTCTCTAGCCCATGCTGCGCCCGTTTAGCCTCCTCTATTTGGCTGAACAAAAGCTGCTTAGGTGTACGGTGGCCGGGCATGCGGGCTACATGACCCAGCCAACGCAGCCTTGCCTACTGGAGGAGGAGCTCACCGATGGGACTTTGTCCAGATCTATCAAGGATTTGTGAGCTTCTCGTACAATCCAGCCTGGTTAAACTCAGACTGGATTGTAAGCAGGCCGGCCTAAATGTTTGTAACTGGTGAAGATGTTCCATTCGGGCGGTCCAAGTTTCACAAGCAGCGCCCCATGGCTCTCCGAACCTCCGAGCAAAGGCTGCGGGAAGCCTCATTCTCTGACGTGGTATGCTGTAGACGTTGGAAACGATGCAAACCCCAGCTGCAAGCGATGATGAAATTCTCACTTGCAACTTTCATCAGGTAGCTGAGACCTGGCCACTGGGTTTGAATGGGGTCCGGGATGTATACCCACCACGGGAGTGGAAGAATGGCAGGCGCATCTTACAGATGACAAGTCGATGGTGAGTGGGCAGATCAGCTCCATGGTAGGTCCAGGTGTCTAAGGACATGATTACGCATCTGATGTTCCATCACTTTATAGTCCAGCAGATGTTCTTGCTTGGACCCGGCGTGCATCCATGATGTTGTGTGGATGCGCCGGTGCCGGAACGGGGTGTTGGTAATTACAAGCACATGGGCTGCACAGAAGTCTAGCAGCCTCCTACCGTTGTTATTGGGCTGATCTGGCCCATGCCCTCCAATCACTCCAGACCAGGTGCCAGCATCATGACCAACTCGGGCATTGAAGTCACCCAACATGATGACTCTATCCCGAGGGGCCACTTTAGCCAGCACCTGTGACAGGAGGTCATAGAGGGCATCTGACTTGTCGGCCTTGCCTGCATCCCTCTACTGATGTTTGTCTTCGATGGAGGCATAAGTTACCACCACCACCACCACTCCTCGCCTCTGGTTGATGGGAAGGGGAGCCCAAAGTAGCCTGGAGCTTGCAGCTTCCCACACCTCACCGCCACGCTCCTACGCCCCCTTCATTCTTTTGTTCAGAAGAAGAGCCACTCCGTGTTGTTTTGCAGTCTCCTGCACCGGGTAGAGGACTGTCCATCCCTCATGGTTACAGGAGCCAGAGCCAGTCCACCGGACCTCCTGAATACTGCAGAGATCCAGGCGGTACCGGTCCAGCTCCCGACAGAGAAGTGGCAGCCTCTCCTCGGCAGTCAGCGTTCGAACATTCCACGTAGCCACCAGCAGTAGCTTTTTGTTGTTTCTGGAGGAACCCCCGAGGATAAGGATTCAGTCTCCTGGCTGTGCCAAGTGGATTTTGGTCAGGAGATGTCATAGACGCCTTTCCCCCCGGGGTCTTCAGCACAAGCTTAGTTAGATTGTTTTCATATTGTTTAGTGGTACTTGGGTTAAAGGTGTAGGGGTTACCAACCCCTCGTACCCCTCCAGAGCGCCTTTGGCCGCTGTGGTGGCTACAACCGCCATGAAGGGGCATAGCTGATTTTGGAATTGGCCTTCCCTCCTTGGCATTGCTCACATCCACCACAGCGTTGCCGTCCGACACCAGTGAGGAGGTAGGGGGTTATTCTCACCGGACTCGCTCAGTCTCACAATCACTGTCACTCACACTCTCACACTCACTCATTCTCACAATTACTTACTGTCACACACTCTCACACTCACTCTCACTCACTTACTCGCTCGCTCACACACTCACACACTCACTCTCACATTCATTCATTCACACACTCACTCTCACAATCACTCGCTCACACTTCTGCCAGAAGGCAGCATTGATAGCTGCTATGTGTGTGTGTGTGATCCCAACGAGTGTGTATGCATGTTGAGCTTATTTCGCCACGTACTTAGCCAACTGTGCTAATTGGAGGTAATTGGCGGACACTGTGTTGATTAAATTTGGACCATGACGCTGGCACACAATGGCCTGCTGCTCGTTTCGAATAATGTCGCAACATCTTTAACGTCCGCAGTGAAGCAGGCGGTGCATAGCAGTTTACGATTAACACACGGCCGCAGTGATAACCGGGGCTGCCTGCCGGAGTCGAACACACGAATCTCTGCGACGAGCGGCTTAAACGCTGTGCCACTCTGCGTAGACCTCGGGTTTACAAATCAACGAATAATAATTGACAAGGTGCAATTCATCCAGGGATCTCAGTGGGCCAATGCAAGACGTTCGGAAATATAAATACAGCAATACCCCGATCCACATCGTTTCGCTAATACGTGACTTTGCGTCTTATCAGCCTCACACGTCCTTTCTCGTATCCGTCGCCTCTCGGCCTTTGCCTCCACCCACCGTACTACCCTAGAAATCATTTTGATTTACGTCGTTTCGATATTCGTTCCCGCACCTTTCAGGAGCGCATCCCCGACGAAAACCGGGGTTTTGACCGTAATTCACGGTAGTCCGGAGTCCACTGGTCACGTATGGGAAGAGTAGGCTAGGCGAGTCTTCAGAGAAGACCTAAACAGGGATAGTGAGCTCGCCTGTCGAACGTGCGTACGTACGTACGTACCCATGCATGTATGTTGCACTTCTTGTTGAACTTCTTTCGCACCATACGTAGCCAACCGTGCTAATCGGAGGTGTTGGCAGCAGGGGCTCTTCCATATTCTTGGCACGGCGCAAGTACAGGCTCGGTCACCCATGGTGCAGCGTCTCGGTGGAGAGCCGATGCCACCGATCCTCAGACTCTTGGGAGTGAAACCCGGACAAGTGGCAACCCGAGTATGGGAGGGCCTTCCTCCAGCTGTGGATTCGTAGCAGCACCCTAATCTCCGTTATTCTATTCTTGTGGTCGAGGAGCGGTTGTGAGGATGAGAAGCCGTGGAGAGTGTACTGTGCTTGGTGAGCCGTTCTCTGTGCGTGCGTGCGTGCGCGTTTGTGCCATCAGGCCTGGTTGGCGCCCGACTGCCCGGGCATTCGAATCTTGAGCCTGGATTACGACACGCACCTGAGCGACTGGAAGACCAAGTGCCCAGCGGAGCAGCACAGGTAACACGCAGACGCCGGTAACGCCGACCGCACGGGCGTTTCGAGGTTCAGCGGCGAGCGGGACCCACACCCTGCGACTCGCAGGCATCTCGGAACGGGAAAAACGTTAAGTCCGCTCAGCCCTTGACAATTTGTGCTTTTGCGACCGGACTAAACAAAAAAAAACATTCCTGCTCGGTTTAATTTACAGCTTTTCGCCGAATGACGCCCGCGCGTTACAAATCATTGGGCCGACCGACCGACCGACCGTTTGACCGTTGCGCGCGGTCACCGTTGCTGTGTCGTTGTTTCCCGTCGTGCCAACGCAGGCGCTCGCTGGCCTCTCGGAGCGTGGAGATGCTGGAGAAGCTGAGGCTGGCGGGCGTGGGAGACCGCCCTCTCGTCTGGGTGGCGCACAGCATGGGAGGCGAGAGACGCGCCTGCACCCAGGGCCGCAACGACCGGCATCCCTTGTGGCGTCCGGAGTGCGCGCACAGCACGAGCCGCGGAGAGTGCTCGCCTTAGCGGAGGCTGAAGCTCTCCGGCAGTCGGAGTCGTTGTAGCTGTTTCAGTCCTGTCCTGTCTTGAAAACTCACCTCTTGAAATCAGCCTTTAACCGCCACCTAGTTGTGGAAATTTTAACCTGGTTTCCGAGTGAATGGATGAGTGGGTGGGTTCATCGGGCTTTACTCTGTGCCCTGCAGGTTCTGTTTATTTCCTGCTTTACATACACGGTGGTGGTGCATTGGGATCCACAGTTGAAATATGCGCCACTTTACAGTTTTTAATTATTATTATTATTAAGAAGGTTGAGATATAAGATGATGATTTGTGATGACGGCGAAGTAATGTTAGGGTTGCCACCTGATGTCTGTTGGGTTTGACCTGTACAGGTCGTATAAATTTCAACACGACACCTCCCGGTCTGGCACCGGTATTGTCCACGTTGAACTCTTTTGCAGTTTGCTGCACAGTTCTGATAATAATTCCAATAGTTGACCCAGTGCTGACTGAGAAACATGCCCCGGTTTGGTCTGCAGTGGAAAAGGTGGTGACTCCTATGTGAGACGTATTCCGGAAGTCATGGAATAATTCCTGAAAAAGTATTCATACAGATATTATTAGGTGTCTTTTGATATTCATATTTTTCTGGGTCTTTTTCCAGATTTCATTACAAATTTGCTCTGATCTCTGTCTGTCTGTCTCTACTCTGATCTCTATTTGTCTGTCTCTGCTCTGATCTCTATCTGGCTGTCTCTGCTCTGATCTCTGTCTGTCTGTCTCTACTCTGATCTCTATCTGTCTGTCTCTGCTCTGATCTCTGTCTGTCTGTCTCTACTCTGATCTCTATTTGTCTGTCTCTGCTCTGATCTCTATCTGGCTGTCTCTGCTCTGATCTCTGTCTGTCTGTCTCTACTCTGATCTATATCTGTCTGTCTCTACTCTGATCTATGTCTGTCTGCCTCTACTCTGATCTATGTCTGTCTGTCTCTACTCTGATCTCTGTCTGTCTCTGCTCTGATCTCTGTCTGTCTCTACTCTGATCTCTGTCTGTCTGTCTCTACTCTGATCTCTGTCTGTCTGTCTCTACTCTGATCTCTATCTGTCTGTCTCTACTCTGATCTCTATCTGACTGTCTCTACTCTGATCTATATCTGACTGTTTCTACTCTGATCTCTATCTGTCTGTCTCTGCTCTGATCTCTGTCTGTCTCTCTCTACTCTGATCTCTGTCTGTCTCTGCTCTGATCTCAGTCTGTCTGTCTCTACTCTGATCTCTATCTGTCTGTATCTGCTCTGATCTCTGTCTGTCTCTGCTCTGATCTCTATCTGTCTGTCTCTACTCTGATCTCTATTGTCTGTCTCTGCTATGATCTCTGTCTGTCTGTATTTGCTCTGATTTCTGTCTGTCTCTGCTCTGATCTCTATCTGTCTGTCTCTACTCTGATCTCTATCTGTCTGTCTCTGCTCTGATCTCTGTCTGTCTATCTCTACTCTGATCTCTGATCTCTGTCTGTCTGTCTCTGCTCTGATCTCTATCTGGCTGTCTCTGCTCTGATCTCTGTCTGTCTGTCTCTACTCTGATCTCTATCTGTCTGTCTCTGCTCTGATCTCTGTCTGTCTCTGCTCTGATCTCTATCTGTCTGTCTCTACTCTGATCTCTATCTGTCTGTCTCTACTCTGATCTCTGTCTGTCTGTCTCTACTCTGATCTCAATCTGGTTGTTTTTGGTCTGATCTCTGTCTGGCTGTCTCTGCCCTGATCTCTATTCTGTGGTTTTTGCTCCGATTTCTGTTCGCTTCAGTACGGCACGTTTATTTCACGTCTCTTTGCTGGAGGCCATTCTTTTTGGGCGACCCGCGTCAGTCGCTGCTGCTCAGCGAGCCTCCGTCGCGCGGCCTCTCTCCGTCGACCCACCGCCTGGCTAGCCACGACCCCACGATCGACTTCTATTTGGCTGGCCATCGGATGCGCTTTCGCAGACGTCTGGAACGCTTTTCCTTCCAATATTAGCAAGCCGCTTGGGCTCGGCACTTTTAAATCACCGAGGTTCAAAACGAATTTCTTTAGAAACCGCCTTTAGTGTTTAGTTCGTGGTCCCTTCTCCCCGCACCTCCGATTAGCACGGTTGGCTACGTATGGTGCCAAAGAAGTTCAACATACATACGCACTACACTGTACACTATTATACATAACACTACACACACTATGCTACGCACTACGCTATACACTGCAATACACTATACTAAATAGAAAATTCATTTCTTTAGAATCTATTTTTGTGTTTAGTTTGTTGTCTTTCCCCTCTCCCCCCCCCGTGCACCTCCGATTAGCATGGTTGGCTGCATAACGGTGCTAAAGATGTTCACCGTGCATACAAAGATCCCCCATATAGCCTTAACAGACTGTAGGGGCAAGTGCTGTTAGCGAGCACCTATGAAGGCCGGATCGGTACACGAGGGGGTGGGTGGCCAGCACCACGCCCGACCGCCTTTGACTCCCTAGTGGCAATGTTTACACACTGCACCAGGTACTCATTTGAGGCTGAGTCGACTTTGGGGAGGCCCGGGACCGGTTCAGATAATCGTCACTGGTGGTGGCCGTGAGCGGGAATCGAACCCGTGTCGCCAGGTTCATAGCGCAGCGTAGCGCTAACCGCTACACTATCGCACCCCACGCACATACACACGCACATACACACGCACACACACACGCACATACACACACGCGCACGCACACACGCACGCACGCACACACACGACACACGTACCTTCGCCGCCAGGCCTGCTGGTCAAGAAGATGCTGTCGGATGCGGAGAGGCTTCCGGAGTTCCGCCAGGTGGTGGAGCAGACTCACGGCGTGGTCTTCTACAGCGTCCCACACCGCGGCAGCCGCCTCGCCGAACTGTCGCGCAACGTCGGCTACCTCCTCTTCCCCTCCGTGGAGGTCAAAGAGCTCGGCCGCGGTGAGGGGTGAGGGGTGGGGGTTGTGCCGATCGTGGCTTCTACGCACGCCGCCGCCGCCGCCGCGGTGTTCCTCCGGCGGCCCGGGTTCCGTATGGCGTTCAGTCGCTTACCCGCATGCCCGTGCGTCTCTTTGAATGTGTGCGTACGTTACGTTGAACCGCCGTACGTAGCCGCCCGAGTTAATAGGGAGGTGTGTAAGCTTTGCGATGAGGTTCTGCGTCATGTGCCGTCGTGCAATAGCCGGTCGGTGGTGGTGGTGGTGGTGGTGTTGGCGGTGGTGGTGGTTACACTGCACGTGGCGACCTGTCTGTTTACCACCACATTTTTTTTTAAGCCTTACAAATGAGACTCTCCGCCACCGTTCGATAGTGGTGGCTGCCTGTAAGCAGACCAGCGCTGTGGAGGTAGCAGCGAGGGTTCTTGGATCACACACAGACGTTGTTGCGAAACTCCCTTCCTACCCATGGGTGGTAGTCTAGGAGGAGCCCTACGCCTATCTCTGCTAGGAGAAAGCGCTACAGAAAACAAAGTGTGGATTAATGTAATCTCTCCCTTCTGTTGTGGGATAGACTGTTGACAACTTGTGCCATCTGTTTATTCCATCTGTACGGGGATAGAGCGTTGCCCCAGCCCCACAAGGTGTGGGTTTTTTTTTTCTTGGTGCTCCGGCTTCCTCCCACGTGAATAATAAACACAACTCATCAGTGAACGGCTGAAAACATCTTAAAATGAATAGCCACAGGACGCTCCTGAAAATACGTAATTGGACTCGGTGTGGCACTATCTGGATAAATACATGAATGCAGTGAAACAGTCGTAAATGATGAAATGAAACTTGTGTGGAGGAGGGTTCGCGACGCAAATTGTACTCACGTGAGAGATGAGACCCAAACATCCATTGTGAACCACACATCCCGTGTGTGTGCCGACATGTCTGTGTGGGGTTGATGTCTCTCTCCCGGTCCCTACTGCTCCTGCTGCTGCGACTGCTGCCGCTGCTGCTGCTGCTACTACTACTACTACTGCCGCTAATGTTACTACTGCTGCTGCTGCTGCCGCTGCTGCTACTACTACTACTGTCGCTAATGTTACTACTGCTACTGCTGCTACTGCTGCTGCTGCTTCTGTTGTCGCTGCTGCTACTACTACTACTGCCGCTAATGTTACTACTGCTGCTGCTACTGCTGCTGCCGCTGCTGCTACTACTACTACTGCTCCTGCTGCTGCTGTTTTTGTTGTCGCTGCTGCTGCTACTACTACTACTGCCGCTAATGTTGCTACTGCTCCTGCTGCTGCTGCTGATTCTGTTGTCGCTGCTGCTGCTGCTGCTGCTACTACAACTACTGCCGCTAATGTTGCTACTGCTGCTACTGCTGCTGCTTCTGTTGTCTCTGCTGCTGCTACTGCTGCTGCTACTTCTACTACTGCCGCTAATGTTGCTACTGCTGCTGCTACTGCTGCCACCGCCGCCGCCGCTAGACTCTCCGCGTCTCAAGGAGCTCCACGCGGCATTCACGGCGCTGGTGCAGCGGCGCCGCCTGCGTGTGCTGAGCTTCGGGGAGACGCGGGCGACGCCGGTTCACGGGCTCATCCGCATGCTGGTGGTGCCTCTCCACTCGTCTGGTACCCGTGCACTCGCCCACTCAGCTGGTACACACGCAGCCTACATGTATACACACACACACACAGGGAGGTGTGTAAGCTGTATATACAGCCTATATGACACACGTACACGCACCCTACATATACAGTGCCAATGGCACGTTTGTGAACCCCTTAGGTTTTTTCACATGTTTTACATATTGTAAACCCACAATGTTATTAGATCTGAATCTAAGTCCTCATAATAGATAAAGATAACCTGATTGAACAGATGACACAACATCTACATATCCTCAAATGATTCTAGATTCAGTAGCCGCGGTGTGAGAAAGTACGTGAACCTTTAGATTCAGTAGCCGGTGACAGCCCCTTGAGCAGCAATGACTGGCGACTTAGAGTTACCTGTAAGCGTTGTTCAGACTTTTGGCCCAGAACTCCTTACAGAACTCCTTCAACTCGGTGACATTTGAGGGTTGCCTTGCATATGGACGGACAGCTGGCTTCAGGCCCTGCCACAACACTTAGAGGGGGTTTTAGGGATGGACCTTGCAGCAATTCTTTTGTAGATCTGCTCGTACGTTTAGGACAATTGTCTTGCTGTAAGACCCACTTTTGGGTTCAGCTTCAGCTCACGGACAATGGCTTGACTTGCTCCTCTGGAATCTTCTGATACAATGCAGAATTCATGGTGGTGTCAATGATGGCAAGCCGCCCATGTCCTGAGGCAGAAAAGCAGCCCCCCAAACCATCACCAAACTCCCACCGCCATGCTTCTTGACAAATTGGATGAGGTTCTTCTGTTCTCATTGAGGCCAAAAAGTTATCGCTTTGAGTCGTCTGTCCGGAGAACATTGTTCCAGAAGTTGTGTGGATCATCTGTCTGCTCTTTGGCGAACTTCAGACGGGCAGCAATGTTCCGTGGTTTTCTCCTTGCTGTCCTGCCATGAATACCATTCTTGTTCAGTCTTTGTTTGATAGTCGAGTCATGAACGCTCGCATTAGCCAAGGCGCGAGAGTGGCCTGCTGATCTGTGGATGTTTCCCTGGGGTGCTTTGTGACTTCCTTGATGATTTTTTGGCTTGTTCTTGGAGACATTTTGGTAGGACGACCGCTCCTGAGTCGAGTGATCCGTGGTCTTGAACGTTCTCCATTTGTAGACTCTCTGTCTGACAGTGGATTGGTGGAGCCCCCAAACATCCCTAGAAATTAAATTTTGATTTAAAGCTTTCGTGACTGCAGTGATTCATATTCTTGGTTCTTTCGGTAAAGTCATGTTGAAGGGAAACAATAAAATAATAAAATATATATAAAACAATAAAATTCTCACAACGTTTCGACTGCAACACAAACAGTCATCATCAGGTGTTGCAGTCGAAACGTCGTGAGAATTTTATTGTTTTATATATATATTTTATTATTTTATTGTTTCCCTTCAACGTGACTTTACTGAAAGAACCAAGAATATCCCTACAAATTGTTTTGTAAACCTTTCCGGACCGATGAGCATCAATAGCTCGTTTTATCTGGTCCTCTTGAGATTTCTTTTGACCGTGGCTTGACTTGTTTCCACACACCTGTATGGTGAAGACCAAACTCACAAAATTTCTGATCTTTATATAGGGTGGTGCCTTCCAAACTCTCACCCCTGACAATTTGTCTAATTGTTTAAACAACTGATTCTAATTATTCCCTTAATGAGGCTAACGAAACCAGGGATTCGCTTACTTTTTCACATACCACGAACCTTAATTACTAATTGTTTAATTCATATATCGTTTTGTTTCCAAAGACATGGGATTGGGTAATGTCAACCCTTTTGGATATTTAGGAAAAGGCCGGTTTTGATTAAAAAGGCTGTCGTGGTAAAACTATGGAACTTTCCATCATCATCATCATTGGGGTTCAAAAACTTTATTTCAGCACTGTATACACACAGCCTGTATATATAGGATGTGTGTATGTATACATACACGCAGCATATACACAGCCTATATATACATACGGCCTCTATATATACAACTTATATATAGTATACACACAGCCTATATATACACAGCTTATATATTTACACACGCAGCCTATATATATACACACACACTGCCTATATACACAGCTTATATATATACACACAAAGCCTATATATACAACATATATACACAGCCTATATATACACACACACAACCCGTATATAAAGCTAGTAAATATATACAGTGCACACTTCCTGCATATACACAAACAGCCTATATTCACGCCGCTTACACAAAACTCGTATAAACAGAGAACAGGAGGATCGACGATTTCCATTCATTCCCATGGACGGCGAGGCATCTGGTTGCTCAGTCAAATGTTCAAGAATCGGCGAGGTGCTTCGTGTTCAGTGGAGAAACCCCTTGTGGGTGCGGTCTGTAGATCCTGGAGTGGGGCAGTTCGTCGCGCTGGACGTCAACCACCTGAACGTGTGCAAGCCCCCGAGCAGGGATTCTCTGCTCTACCAGAGGACGATGAGCTTCATCAGGGACTGCGTTAACGAGGGAAGGGCAGAGGGCGGTAACAATGGCGGTGGCGGCGGCGGCAGCCTCACGTGACCAGTCACCTGAACTCTCACGCTTCATAGCGTACGCAGCCAGCGTGAAGTGTGTGTGTGTGTGTGTCTGTGCGAGCGTGAGTTTGCACGCACGCACACACAGCCGACGTGATGTGCGAGTGTGAATTTGCACAGTGAGTGTGAATTTGCTCACACACACACACACACAGCCAACGTGATGTGTGGGTGTGAGTTTGCACAGTGAGTGTGAGTTTGCTCACACACACACACAGCCAACGTGATGTGTGTGTGTGCGAGCGTGAGTTTGCACGCACGCACACACACAGCCAACGTGATGTGTGTGAGCGTGAGTTTGCACACACACACAGCCAACGTGATGTGTGTGTGTGAGTTTGCACAGTGAGTGTGAGTTTGCACACGTAACATATTGCGTGTGTGGCGTGAGAGTGATGTGTGTGTGTGTGTCCACTCACGCTCACACGCTGTTAAAAACAAATTGTCACATTAACTTTGGTTCTTCATTTAATTTCTCTTAATTCCAGCTCTGAAAATTCGAATACTTGTTTGACTGGCATCACGCGATGGGACACTGATACAGCAGAGCGAGTTGGGAAAGAGTCGCCCTCTACTGAGTGTGTGGACCAGAGTGTCACTTGAAGAAAGGTTCTCAGACGTGGCTCTGTGTTATCTGCTTCTGTGTGCCATTCTGTGTGTGAATCGGAATATAATTTGAAGAAGGGGTCTCAGAGGTAGCTGTCAACTTCTGTCAGCTGTTCTCTTAACACGGAGGGAGTGGCACTGCTCAGCCGGATTTGCGAACGGATACTTCATCTTGTGACGTTGCTAGTGTGAGCAGGATCAGGTGGAAATAAATGAAACGCGGGTAATTGATAGCAGCCGATACTGGAATCAATATTAATCTATGCAGTAATTTATCCCGTGTGGAAAACACTAATATGGATGGCCCACTGGAACAGTCACACTGCATCTTATTCATTTTTTTGTGGTTTTAAAGAAACCTGTTTACTCGGCACAGAAGCCATTCTCCCATAGCCATATTCAGACGCCTCTCCCCGCCGCCGCTATATATTCCTCGGAATCAAGGCCATGTGCCTAAGGTGCGCTTGCTACCACTGCATTGCACGGTATTAGAAGGCCACTGGGAGCGATGCATTTTTAAATCGAGATTGAAAACGAATTCCTTTGAGAACTGCTTTTTCGCGCTTAGTTTGTTCTCCCCCCTCCGCACCTCCGGTTTGCACGGTTTGGCTACGTGCGGTGCGAAACAAGCTACAACATACATACGTAGCCATACCGTGCACGAGTGTAGCTGCGAAGGCCAAATAGAAGCGCAGTGCCGCGCGACACTCGCTCACCCGAACGTTGTTCCTGACCGGCTGGCATTCCCCGCCGGATTTTCTTGATCTCCCCCGAACGCTTTGACCGTGGCCGCGCGTAGGCAATGTGCGTGCTTCGTGCAGTCGACTGATGGCACTTTGCATAGCTTTGTAAATATGGTACGTAGGTCCCTATTCAGCCTGTGCCACGGGTGGGATCAAGTGCTTTGTTTTTTTTCCTATACAGTTCTGTTCTCCTATAACGCGTGTTTTGACAAGACGAACTGTATATAACGCGATGAATGTATTCGGGGACACATTTTTTATATATATATAAATATAACGCGGATGCGAATTGGATATAACGCGATTGAGTGATCGGAACAACGACACGCGAGTCGGAACAAGCGGCTGCGGGGCTGCCTCGGGGTAGCATTGCACAAGACAGAGTGGGATGCTGCTGGATGCTTCCAGACGCTACCCAGCCTGCATACGCATCTCGCGACATTTATTATAACCCGACTTTAAATCTTGATTTAAAGCTTTCGTGACTGCAGGGATTCATATTATTGGTTCTTTCGGTAAAGTCACGTATATATACGTGACTTTACCGAAAGAACCAGGAATATAACCCGACTTTTCAACAACGTGGTATTCTGCCGGAACGCGACTAACACGTTATAGGAAAACATACTGTAGTGCTATCGGTAATTAAACTTTCACAGCACCACTGACCTGTGCCTTGCAAAGACTTTGCCCTCCTCTGCCCGGTCACCCTATGCTTATATTACTTAAAAAAAAACACAGTTGCTGGGCACAGGCCCAAAGTGCCATGATGTGAGGCTATCTTCTTTTTCGTACGGCCGATGTGGACGTAAAGCAGCGAATTTTACATTGAGGTGCTTAATGAGGCAGTGGTATGGTGTAACGCTTCCACGGTAGATCTCTACAGATCTCAGTGTGAACCTGCGGGTCTCTCTGTGCGACGGTTTCACTCACCCCCGCCATAGGAATAGGGAATTTCCACCATTGGCTCAGGGCTGTAAGCAACTGATGAGCACCGCCTAGATGCTCACATGAGCAGGGTGTCACTTTGATTTCAATCATTCGTATTCGGCTGCGGTTTGTGCAAGATGAGTTGAATTAATTGAATCGTTTGACCGGGATAATAATCCGTTGAGTTGGAACGTCTGGTTTGCAAGGGTAGCCCAGGGTGTCGCATGACACAGAGAAAATCCACGTAATGGCACGTGCACATACATTCGTAGGTAACACTATGCACCCGCGTGGTGTGGTGTGTGAAGAATTATATGTATATTATTTTTTTTCATTTTTACACAAACACCCGGTGTCTCATCAGCAGGGTCAGGTTTTTCTTGGAAAATGTTGATAAAATGCCAGATGTTTCATAGGCAAGGACACTAAGATATCGGTCCCAGTTAAATGTAACACCAGTGTTTTAACCGTACAGTTCAAAGCGCTGCCCTAATTATAATCGCTGAATAATGATGCCGCTGTGGGGAGACACCCTGCACACCACTGTCAGATGCAGTTTCGATAGAAAGTGGACCGATGGACAGAATGTTGAATTTTATATTTGGGCTGTTTCGGGATAAATCCAGCTTCAGGTAGATTTTTTCCGGAAATGCCGATTCAGTGGCTGACAAAGCAAGGCGCTCCACTGCCTGGGGATATTCAGTCGAGTTGTTCACACTGCCTCTGTGTTTTTTTTATTCGTCTCTTTGCTGCCTGAAAATCAAAGTGCAAATTTTGATCGGTTGCGAATGTTGTAAATTGTGCGATTTTAAGCGTGAATACAGAACCGGAGAGGACTTCTTTTTGTTTTCCCTTGAAAGCAATAAACGTACTCTGCGCCAAAGTGTACTGTGATGAACTTGGACGGAACTATAACAATTGTTTTTATATTTTACCATGTAAAGCCCACTCACCTGTAGAGCTTGTTTTCACAAGCGACCTTGCCGTAAATGATAGCTCAACGAAGTGGCTCATCACGTGCAAATGTATAGCGGCCAAACACGCGAAACGCGTGGTGATGTCGATTTTAAATGTCGGGGGAAAAAACTAGAGGACCCGGAGAAAAATCCACTTGATCAACGGCAGAGAGAGAGACACGCAAACTCCAAATATACAGCAGCAGCAGGCGTCAAGGTTGGGATCGACACCGTGATGATGATGAGAGAGAGAGAGACACGCAAACTCCAAATATACAGCAGCAGCAGCAGGCGTCAAGGTTGGGATCGAATCCACAACCTCCTGTGTACCAGGCGAGGTAGTGAAACATCTCCTAGCCACCATGATGATGATGAGAGAGAGACACGCAAACTTCAAATATACAGCAGCAGCAGGCGTCAAGGTTGGGATCGAACCCACGACCTCCTGTATACCAGGCGAGGTAGTTAACATCTCCTAGACACCGTGATGATGATGAGAGAGAGAGACATGCAAACTCCAAATATACAGCAGCAGCAGGCGTCAGGGTCGGGATCGAACCCACGACCTCCTGCATGCCAAGCGAGGGAGTAAACATCTTGCCACCACGGCTCCCTACTCAAATGAGCATTTTTTTAAATTGTATTCTCCGAACTAAGATGTACTTGTGTATTTTAAAGCCAAGGTTGAGCTTTTTTACGTGTGTGTCTGTGGCATTTACCAGTCATCTCAGTAAACCCATGGCACCTGGGTCTGTCCCGTGACCTGCCAGCGAGCCTTTGACACTTCACGTGGCCTCAAAGTGCACCGAGCATGACACAAGCACCGTGGTGACCTCACCGCCGCTAATTGACGAATGGCGGTTGTGTATTTGAGTGGGGAGTGGTAGTGTAACAGTTGGCGCGTTATGAACTCATCGACTCGCATTCAATTCCCGCTCACGGCCACCAACACCAGGGACCACTATATGAACCCATCCTGGCCCTCACCCGGTACAGCCTTAACAGACTGTTGGAGCGAGTGCTGTTAGCGAGTAGCACGTATGAAGCACAGCGCACGATCGGGTGGGTGACCGGCACCACGTCCGGCCGCCCTTGTCTCCCTAGTGGCGATATTTTTACACATCGCACCAGGTACTCATTTTAGGCTGAGTCGACCTAGGGGAAGCCGAGGACTGGCTCAGATAATCGTCATTGGTGTTGGCTATGAGCGGAAATGTAAACCCGGGTCGCTGAGTTTGTAGAGCGACGCGCTAACTACCGTGCCACCGCTCCCCACTTCTGTTACAGACAGACAACTTACACAAATCATTCCAATGCTTATTTATTTTATCCCCAAGGAAAGCACCAAAAACAAAACCCCTCCGCCCCCCCCCAAAAAAACCCTCCAAAGTCACAAATATATTTTGGCTCAACCGCGAATGTTTGAATGTCGACAAAGCGAGCGGCTTCACCATTGTCAGCCTCTCTGAAAGTGCGTGATTAGAAAAGAACCCCGTGGAGTGGCTGTTTTGACGGGGGCAATAGCATTGTCGACCGATTCGGGCTGCCGATTCGCACACGAACAGAACGGATGAGTCGATCCTTCTTCCGAAGGGAGGAATGCTCGTGAGAGAGATCGCGCCTCCGATTAGCACGGTATGCACGTTGAACATCTTTCGCACCGTACGCGGCCAAACCGTGTTCATCGGAGGTGCGGGGGAAGGACAACAAACTAAACGCAAAAAGCAGTTCTGAAGAAATGCGTTTGTCAGTCGAGGTGATGGTTTAATATAGCATAGCTCCAGAAGCGCATCTGAAGGCACGCAATGCGGTGGTCCATCCTTTGTTCGATGGCCAGCCAATCGCCGCTGCTGCGAGGATCACCGGAGTTCGCTTGATGGTTTACGCTCATTGACGAGGTCAGCGAGGTACTGTGGTTCACTTATGGCAAGCACTTTGTGTGCAGTGAGTGCGGTGCGAAAGAAGTCCATACATGCGTCGGCCGCGTGCGGCGGATTAAATTATGAACCCACGCTTTGAATGCAGCGTCACCGCCTTGCTTTGATGTTGACGACGGTGCCTTCAGTTTCCTTTTGGAGCCCTTGGACCGCTGACTATTTCCGTGATTGAGGTTATTTTTATTTCTTCTCTAAAAGCTATCGGCGTATTCAATTTCAACCGTTGCCGAGCACAGTTGCCCACGGGCCCCGCAGTAACGTCAAGTGGCCAGCGACAAACGGCACTGCTATCAAAGTCGTATTCTCGAGATCGTGGCCGGGGTGAAAAGTTCACAGTTATTACCCGGAGGCATTGATGCGCTTGCTTCCCGATTACAGCCTCTCCGGAGCCAGTGGTGGAAATTCCACGTTCACATGGCAGGGCCGAGTTTAACCCAGGCCAACCACTGTTGTTGACTTACCCACAAAGTGAACCGCCCAGAGGTATGACGACGATGATCCTCTCTCTCTCTCTACCACTGAGCCTCAATAAAAGCCTCGCCCGGTTTCAAATCTCTCAACCAGCAGCTTCCTGAATCGACGCATCATCACGTCCGTTACCGGCGATGACGATGCTGCTGATGATGGTTACGATGGTGATGATGGTGGTGATGATGATGGTGATGATGATGATGGTGGTGGTGATGATGATGGTGGTGATGGTGGTGGTGATGATGGTGATGATGGTGTGATGACGATGATGATGGTGGTGATGATGATGGTGATGATTGCTCCGATTGCCTGAGTGTTACCCCCCCACCACCACCCACCCCCCATGGCCCTAGGCGTGGTGCGTGCTGCGAGTGGTGCGTGAGGTGTGCTGCGTGAGGTGTGCTGCGTGAGGCGTGCTGCGTGAGGTGTGGTGTGTGAGACGTGGTGCGTGAGGTGTGGTGCGTGAGGTGTGCTGCGTGAGGTCTGCTGCGTGAGGCGTGGTGCGTGAGGTCCGTGCGCTGCGTGAGGTCTGCTGTGTGCGGTGTGCTGCGTGAGGTGTGCTGCGTGAGGTGTGCTGCGTGCGGTGTGCTGCGTGAGGTGCTCTGCATGAGGTGTGCTGCGTGAGGTGTGCTGCGTGAGGTGTGCTGCGTGAGGTGCGCTGCGTGCGGTGTGCTGCGTGAGGTGTGCTGCGTGCGGTGTGCTGCGTGAGGTGCGCTGCGTGAGGTGTGCTGCGTGCGGTGTGCTGCGTGAGGTGTGCTGCGTGAGGTGTGCTGCGTGCGGTGTGCTGCGTGAGGTGGCTGCGTGAGGTGCGCTGCGTGAGGTGCGCTGCGTGCGGTGTGCTGCGTGAGGTGTGCTGCGTGAGGTGTGCTGCGTGCGGTGTGCTGCGTGAGGTGTGCTGCGTGAGGTGTGCTGCGTGTGGTGCGCTGCGTGCGGTGTGCTGCGTGCGGTGTGCTGCGTGAGGTGTGCTGCGTGAGATGTGCTGCGTGCGTCCGGGAGTTCCAGGGTGCCCTTTGACAGTCGAGTCCACCCCTCGGTGGCGATGGACGAGGCGTCGACGCCGTATCGCGGGAGTGGCTGTGTAAACAAACATCAGAGACGGGGGAATGGGGGGGGGGGGGACCGCACACACGTGAGGGAAGGGTGATGGGACGTGGTGGTGGCACAGTGAAGAGTGAACACCATCTCGGCCAGGTGGCTCAGCGTTAGACAAACTTTACCCGGTCTCAGAAGATCTTGCCGGCGCACTTGCAGGAGGCAGGGCAGTAGGCCTGCACGACCTTGCCGGACCCCGTGTCTCCGCACCCGTAGCTGCTCTTCATCGCCGCGCAGTTTGCGTACGCGTCTTTGTAGAGGCAGGGGTTCCCTGACGACGACGATGAGGAGGAGGAGGGAGGGAGGAGGAGGAGGAGAAGACAAATGAGGGGCCAGCGGGTCTAGCGGTCGCCGCTCTCATCGGCGGATGCTGACATGTGGACGAAAGCTCTCTCGGCCTTGTGCAGACCACCAGCTCAACGGAACTGCAAGGGGAAGGGTGACCCCCCCCCCCCCCGCCTCCTCCCCAACGTGGAAAGAGCAGCAGAATCTGCTGCTGCTGCTGTTGATGGCGACGCTGCAGTGTAAGCGGTGAACGCATGGCGTGGAGGCGACTTACGGCACAGCTTGCGGCTGCAGCTCTTACGGCAGGAGCCGCACGAGTTGCCCTTATTGTACGGTCGGTTGATGCGAGACGCCAGGTTTCCGCTGTGAGCAACAAACAACGACAACAGCAAGAACAACGGTGACGACAATAACAACACCATCCACCACCACAGACCGACGTATATTGGAGGACAGCAGAGAAACATCCACGCGACAACACGGATTATAATTATCCCCGGTTTGTTTATGCAGTGAAACCTCGCTGTGACGTGGTTGTTTTTGCCTCCGATTCCTCTTTGCTTCAGAGTTTGTTCTTGTGTGCTCCTCTCGGTTATTGCTTTTGCTCTTTTGGTGCAAATGAGGCGACTCATCTTGGCCTCTACTGGACATCTGTGGAAAAAGAGCTTTACAGCTTATCGGATTCCTCCATAACAATGAAAGATTATGATTCTGACTGTGCTCGCCTGGTTAATCAACAAAACTGAACAGCGAGGGTACTTGAGTTTACACACAACTCGGTTTTATGTGAGTCTATGGGTCTCTGTGTGAGTTATCGGTGACAGGGACTGACCATCAACCCAGCTCAATCGCGGCTGGGGTGGTTGACCTCTGAGCCACCCAGTGGCCTGTTAAAAAAAAAAGTAAATTTTTGTTTGACATTTTTTCGTGTGTTTAACCGATTTGTTTTTCTGCCCAGCGAATTATTTCACCGGGGCGACGTCGCGTTCTGCTCCGGACGCCTCGGGCAAGAGAGAGCCACCCCCTGAGGCCCAGAATGAAGGCGGACGAGGCTCCTCCCGTGACAAAAGATCCGGTGATTTATTACGGCGGTAGAAATCGGATAGTTGGGGGTGTTACCGTGGACACGACGAGAGAAACAATAGGGCACGGGTAATCGATCGATCTCGGGCGACACAAATTACGTGACTTCTCGGTATGAGTGGAATCCGTGGTCGCTCACGGAGAGACCCGGGTGAACTTCTCTCTCTGATTGTGTAGTGACATGGAATGGGTCACTACGAAGCAGAGTGCGGGTTGCTGGCAGAGAAGGGGATCTGGGGTTGCAGCTGCCCTGCACGTGAGGTGAGCCCGCGAACCCACGAGTAGGTTCTAGAAGGGGGGCGTGGCCGGGGGCGGAGCGAGGCCACGCCGGGAGGATAAAAGGGGACACCGAGCGAATGTTCGGGGCTGTTGCTTGGAGTGGAATCCCGTCGGGCTGCTGGAGTCTTCGTCACTATCTTCACCTTCTCGGCGTCGTCAGTCAGGCAGTCTGTTAGCTATACTGACTGAGAGTGTAGTTACCCCTTGTACCCTGTGAAGGCTGTAATAAATAGAGTGCCTCCTACTCCTAGTGTCTCTGAGTGTATCACGAGCCAACCGTGCTAATCCAAGGTGCGGGGGAAGGACAACAAACGAAACATAAAGAGCAGTTCTAAATGAGTTTTCAATTTAGTATGTTTGTTGAACTTTCGCACACACACGGAGTAACCGTATGGCCTTTCCATCTGTGAACATTCTCAACATTTCATTATTATCAGGGTGCCATGGTGTACATGTTGTGTATAAATATAATCTCCAACTATTAATGACCCAGTCTCTATAGCCTCTTTGTGCTATGAAGAAGGGCAATTTGCCCAAAACATCACCGATCTTATATATTTGTTCATATTAAGCCCGTGATGTTATTGAAACACGTTTTGTGTTTTAAGCAAGATAATGGGTTCTTTTTAACTTTCTTGAAAGTGATGGATCAGCAAGAATCCGGCAAAAGGTCCTGAGTAAGTGACCGCGAACAGGACGAAATCAAGAGAGAGAGCGATACACAACGCGTAATTGTCACGTTGTGAAGATTGATTGGTGGTTGAGAGTCGTAGAGGCAGTGTTTCCTGGAATCATTGAGTGAGTGAATGAGTGGGTGGGTGTGGTGGAGTCGGAGGAGATGAGCAGGCGATAGGAGACAAACAACGAGCGTAAGGGGGACATTTAGCAGCCATTAGGCGAATCAGCCCCCGAGCGATTACGAGGAACCTGTTCGCAGCCGTGCGTCAACTCGAGAACCCGAGTCGTCATTTGTTTTCTACCTGACGGCCCCGCTTCGCCGTCGGCTTTGCCACGTGGTGTTTGTCTCGGCTCAGGGAGCAACAGGCGTCGTGGTCACACGACGTCACAAAAAGTCAGACCCCCCCACCCCCCTCAAATATGACGTCACAAAGCTCTGCCCCCACACCCCCAAAAATATAAAACATGCTTCAAATCGCTTTAAACTATTGCCATTGTAGTGCGTATTTAATGTGCCGCTGCACTCTGATGTTGTAGGATAAAACATTTATTAAAAAAGTTTTTAATTGAGTAGAAAGTGTTGTCTATATTTATTTAAAGTTGGGCATTTTGATGTGACGTCACATTTCTCAAACCCACCCCCCCTCCCCCCTCGTCACGCATCGTCACAATGGCGGTTGGGCGTGGTCCTCGCCACCCACCACCAAGGGTCTCTGTGTGAGTTATCGGTGACCGGGACTGACCATCAACCCGGCTCAATCGCGGCTGGGGTGGTTGACCGCTGAGCCACCCAGCGGCCTGTTAAAAAAAAAGTAAATTTTTGTTTGACATTTTTTTCGTGTGTTTAACCGATTTGTTTTTTTCTGCCCAGCGAATTATCTCACCGGGGCGACATCGCGTTCAGCTCCGGACGCCTCGGGCAGCACTTGCCCCAAGTCTGTTACAGGCTATACGGGGGATCTTTGTATTTTATTATTATTCACACGCTTTTATTTAACTGTTGTATCCTCAAATCTTGTAACTCAATTTTACCCCACTTCCCAATGTCGTATCGACTGCAAACTTGGTATACATATGTCATACTGATGACAATACTATATTCTATCATTAAAAATAAAAAAAATATATATTTGTAAGTAATCTTTTTTTAAAATATATATCTTATGTTTCAGCTTGGGTCTATTTGTCCACGCTCAACTGACGTTGGCTGTAAATCACCACGGCCCACTTACGTTGTTGCAAGCTTCGGGGCCACTTCCTGGAGTCGTGGAGTTCTTCCATTACCCGTACGGTACATTTCATTAAAGCGTGTTTTAAAAAAAAAGTATTCTTAAATATTACTTATTTTTGCTACTGCCGTGGTTGCTATCCCCGTGAACTTCACTCACCGAGGCCTCTGTCTGTACCGCATTGACTGGCTCATCCAAACGGTGTTCAACCACCATCACCACCAATTCCTGGAGTCGTGGAGTTCTTCCATTACCCGTACGGTACATTTCATTAAAGCGGTGTTTTAAAAAGAAAAAAGTATTCTTAAATATTACTTATTTTTGCTACTGCCGTGGTTGCTATCCCCGTGAACTTCACTCACCGAGGCCTCTGTCTGTACCGCATTGACTGGCTCATCCAAACGGTGTTCAACCACCATCACCACCAATTCCTGGAGTCGTGGAGTTCTTCCATTACCCGTACGGTACATTTAATGAAAGCGGTGTTTAAAAAAAAAAGTAATTTGTAAATATTACTTTTGAGAGAGAGAGAGGGAGAGAGAAAGGTGAATGGACCACAGCCCCGTGCTCACGCTGGGCAGTAGTGGCAAACGTAGAAGTACTTGGCCGTACTAGCGCAGTAGTTGACGGCGCACCCCACTTGGAAGGAGCTGTACCACACCACCTGCACGGCACGACGAGAGACACACACACAGAGAGAGAGACACACACAGAGAGAGAGAGAGACAGAGAGAGAGAGAAAGTCGGGAGAGTCCTCGCTTGCGCGGGGGCGGTGCTCACACCGCTTTGCTGAAGACTTTTTGCTGGGTTTTTTTCTCTCCCCCTGGTGATTTTTCTGCTTGCGCGTAGTCACTTTGAGGATGTTTTTTTCTCGTTCGTGTTTTTTTATTGTTTGTTGCTTTTGCGCACCCGATTCAAGAGCCGAATGGCTCACAGGGCTGTACCAAAATTAAATTAAACTAAAAAAAAACTGAAACCACAGCGCGTTGTCGCCACAGGGGCCGTCCATAAATGACGTCACGCGATTTTGGACGATTTTTTGACCCCCCCCCCCTCGTCACACGGCGTCACAAAAAGTCAGACCCCCCCCCCTCAAATATGACGTCACAAAGCTCTGCCCCCCCCCAAATAAATAAATAAAACATGCTTCAAATCGCTTTAAACTATTGTCATTGTAGCGCGTATTTAATGTGGCGCTGCACTCTGACGTTGTAGGAGAAAACATTTATTAAAAAGTCTATTTAATTAAGTAGAACGTGTTGTCTATATTTATTTAAAGTTGCGCATTTTGATGTGACGTCACACTTCACAAACACCCCCCCCCCGTCACACATCGTCACAAATGTCTGACCCCCACCTCCTCCCCCCCCCCCCCCAGGTGCGTGACGTCATTTATGGACGGCCCCACAACGCGGTTCTTCCGTTTTCCCGCACCGCCGATCGGTACGGTTGGCTAGGCATGGCGCGAGTGGAAGTTGAACAAACAAACACACATTAGGGGACGTGTTTCACACAATGCGGAACGCGCACCGTTATAACGCCGTTTTTGTGCGGTGGATGACGAACTACCTTGGTGCCGTCAATAAATGACGTCACGCAACTAAGGGGGGGGGAGGGGTGGGGGGAGGGGTGGGGGCTCAGACATTTGTGACGATGTGTGACGTGGGGGCGTATTTTATCGACCCTGCAGAAAAATTATGATGTGTGGAGCAGTGCGAGGGGGTAAGCAATAATAGGGTGGTGAGTGGGTCATGGGGTGGGTGGGTGAGTCATGGGGTGGGTGGGTGAGTCATGGGGTGGGTGGGTGAGTCATGGGGTGGGTGGGTGAGTCATGGGGTGGGTGGGTGAGTCATGGGGTGGTGAGTGAGTCATGGGGTGGGTGGGTGAGTCATTGGGTGGGTGGGCGAGTCATGGGGTGGGTGGGTGGGTCATGGTAAGGTGGGTGAGTCATGGGGTGGTGAGTGAGTCATGGGGTGGGTGGGTGAGTCATGAGGTGGGTGGGCGAGTCATGGGGTGGGTGGGCGAGTCATGGGGTGGGTGGGTGGGTCATGGGGTGGGTGGGTGAGTCATGGGGTGGGTGGGTGAGTCATGGGGTGGGTGGGCGAGTCATGGGGTGGGTGGGTGAGTCATGGGGTGGGTGGGCGAGTCATGGGGTGGGTGAACGAGTGTGTCATTGTTACCTGTCGCGTGGCTGGGTGAGTGCGCTGTTGTAACCTGCAGTGCGGCGAGTGAGTTGGAGGGGGGTGGGTTAGTGAGTTGGTGTGGTCTGAAGTGTGCTGGGCGAGTGGTTGCCTTAACCGATTGTTAGGGCGAGTGCTGTTAGCGAGTAGCACCTATTAAGGCCGGAACGGCACACGAGTGGGTGGGTGGCCAGCAGCTACACCCGACGGGGCGACGCACACTCCGTGCAGCGTGACTCCTCCAACACGGGTCGAGCCATCGTCGATAATTGAAGTTGAGACGTAGCGATGAAAGCGTGACCAAGGAGGAGGAGGAGGCGTGTATGTGTAGTGAGCGATTTCCGAGACGCGATGTGTCGAGGGCTCCCTGTTTGTTTCTCACACTTTACAGGGAGGATCACTGAGCGACATATACGCTGGGCTGCGCATAGCCGGCCCACTCATACAGCCACATCGCCGGGAGTCTAACTATATAGCTGGCTGGCTAATACAGCGACGACGATGATAATGGGGACCGTACAGCGGATCGGCCATGCGGCCGGACGATGAAGAAGAGATGACGGCGAAGACAGCGACGGTAGCCAGAACCCGAAGCCCCACAACAGCCCCGAACCTCCGGTTGCCTCGCCCTTTTATACTCTTCGGCGTGGCCAAGCCCCGCCTCTGGTCACGCCCTGCCTCTGGCCACGCCCCCCTTCCTGAACTTTCGTGCAGGTTCCAGGAGCTTCCCGACTGATCCCCGCCCCTGACCTTTAGCCCAGTTACACCCCGCTTATGGTTGGCATTGATATAGCGGACCCATACCCGTAATTACCCCTCCTGGTCAACAGATGGCACCCTGTCACTACATATCTATGTATGTACGTTGAATACTTTGGCACCGTACGCAAAAAGCAGTTCTAAAAAATATCAACTTCAATCTGGGTGATTTAAAAGTGCATAGCGGCAGTGGCTGCCTAACATCGGAAGGAAGAGGCGTTCCAGACGGCCGCATCTGAAAGCGCCGCGTGGAGCGGCGACCGACTTTGTTCGACGGCGCGACGGTGGTTTAAGCTCCTCGACGAGGAGATACAACGAGGAGCTGCGGTACGTTCACGGCAAGCACTTCGCGCGCGCGCGCAAGGAGGCGCGACCTCGCAATGTGTTGCGGCTCGGGTGGTCCCGCCGTCTCACCTGGGTGTAGTGGCCGACGGCCCCGGGGCCCTTGGGCCCCTGGTCGTACACGAAGCCGGGGCTCGTCACCTCGTTGTACCAGTCGCGGATGGCGTAGTTCCAGGTGAAGGGCGCGCTCGAGATGAACAGGTTTTCCCCGCAGTCGAACACTGGGGCGCAAGACCAGCGCGGGAACGGGGCAGTCGCGTTTTGTAAAATGCGATTTGCGACTGAGCCTTGTCCGTGCCGTTATCGATAGTCCACTGCTAACGTGACATTTTATTGAGGGGCTGCTGCTGCGCGATTAACCTGGCGTGGTCTGTGACTGGTTTTGTTGTTTTTGCTGCCTTACCCAAGCTTGAAGAATCGTATAATGCACGTATTTTTTGTTTAATCATATTTAGCGGCTCGCTTACTGCTGTCTTTATTTGGCAATCCTATCGTATTTTAGTATCCTACGCCGCTGTAACTTGATGATGTGCCCATACTGAACATCTGTGAAAAAGAGCTTAATAGTTCATATTCTTAGCTCTTTCGGTAAAGTCACGTTGAAGGGAAACAATATATGTTCATTTATTTTTTATTATTTTATTGTTTCCTTTCAACGTGACTTTACCGAAAGAGCTAAGAATATGAATTACTGCAGTCACGAAAGCTTTAAATCAAAAATTAAGAGCTTAATAGTTCATAGGATTCCTCCTCTAGTCTGAATAAAGATTCTGATTCTGTGTGTGTGTGGGGGGGGGGTTCGTTTGTTGACCTATTGAGCCAGGCCGGGCAAGGACACAGCAGCGCCACTGCTCACCCATTGACTCACATTGACCACGGTCTAACATTGCCCATAGACTAACATTGCCCATAGACTAACATTACCCATAGACTTTCATTACCCATAGACTCACATTACCCATAGACTCACATTACCCATAGACTTACATTGCCCATAGACTAACATTGCCCATAGACTCACATTACACATAGACTAACATTACCCATAGACTTTCATTACCCATAGACTCACATTACCCATAGACTCACATTGCCCATAGACTCACATTGCCCATAGACTCACATTACACATAGACTAACATTACCCATAGACTTTCATTACCCATAGACTCACATTACACATAGACTAACATTACCCATAGACTTTCATTACCCATAGACTCACATTACCCATAGACTCACATTGCCCATAGACTCACATTGCCCATAGACTCACATTACACATAGACTAACATTACCCATAGACTTTCATTACCCATAGACTCACATTACCCATAGACTAACATTGCCCATAGACTCACATTGCCCATAGACTAACATTGCCCATAGACTCACATTGTCCGTGGGCTGACATGTCCCACAGACCAACATTGTCCAAAGACTTACATTGACCACGTCCCTTCACCTGATGAAGGCCGCTTGTGTTGTGGCCGAAACGTCGTGAGAATTTTATTGTGTTATTTTATTTGATCAATTTATTATATTTATTCTCATTCTACGTGACTTTACCGAAAGAACCAAAGAAGATGAATCCTTGCAGTCACGAAAGCTTTCAATCGAAATTGCCCATATACTAACATTGCCTATAGACTAACATTGCCCATAGACTCACAATGCCCATAGACTCACATTGCCCATAGACTCACATTGCCCATAGACTCACATTGCCCATAGACTCCAATTGCCCATAGACTTACATTGCCCATAGACTAACATTGCCCATAGACTCACATTGTCCATAGACTCCAATTGCCCATAGACTAACATTGCCCACAGAGTAACATTGCCCATATACTAACATTGCCCATAGACTTGTTGTTGTTAACAAATTGTCGCTATGACAACAATTGCTATACGTATTTGAGAAACCTGCACCGTCGTTTGCAACTGCCACGTGAGGGAGGGCGGTGGAATCGACCGGGCGGTGACCTCTGCATTGCCACCAGGGCGGGGTCACGGCGTGGGGGGCTTCAGGGGCAGCAGCCCAGGGGGCCTCCGACCCTGGTTGCCACTCCCAGTCCAGATGGTGGTGGTGGTGCTGCTCAATGTCACGCCACCACTTTGGCGGATGATGCCGGTGCACCAAGGCAGGCAAGGGATGTGGCGATTTACGAACGCTAATTGGAGATATCGCGTTGACTCTGAGGCGCGACAGTGGCTATGAGATGTTAACTCCCTCGCCTGGTATGCAGGAGGTCGTGGGTTCGATCCCGACCCTGACGCCTGCTGTATATTTGGAGTTTGTGTGCGTCCCTCTCTCATCAACATCATCACGGTGGCTAGGAGATGTTAACTACGTCGCCTGGTATGCAGGAGGTCGTGGGTTCGATCCTGACCCTGTCGCCTGCTGTATATTTGCAGTTTGCGTGTCTCTCTCATCATCATCATCACGGTGGCTATGCGATGTTAACTACCTCGCCTGGGGTGCAGGAGGTCGTGGGTTCGATCCCGACGCCTGCTGTATATTTGGAGTTTGTGTGTCTCTCTGTCATCATCATCACGGTGGCTAGGAGATGTTAACTACCTCGCCTGGTATACAAGAGGTCGTGGGTTCGATCCCGACCCTGACGCCTTCTGCTGTATATTTGGAGTTTGCGTGTCTCTCTCTCTCTCCCTGTGGTCGCGTGGATGTTATTCCGGATCTTCCGATTTTCCCCCTCCACATTTAGAAACGTGCGTTTTGAGTATTTGGCTGCTATACATTTCCACATCGTAAGCCACTTCATTGGGCAATAATTTGTGGCCAGGTCGCTTCTGAAAAAGAAGCTAATAGCTCATTTACATTATGAGACCTCCTTTGCCAGTAACAAGATATAGTTATAGGTTTTACCCTTTTAACTGGCACAAAAACTGACACCTTTATTCAAGGCATCATGTTTGCAATAACCACAACGCAAGCAGTCAAAATGCAAACAAAAAAGACAACTCTGATAATAATATGCACTGTCCTTGAATTTGATTGGTCCACACCCGAGACGGCTTTTCTTAGAGCCTAGTCTCCATTGGTGTTGGACCAGAAGACGCCAAAAGGCGTACAACTCAAAAACAGCGCACTATCAGAGTATTGAGGGCTCAGGGTGAGCATTTACATTATGAGACCTCCTTTGCCAGTAACAAGATATAGTAATAGGTTTTACCCTTGCGTTGTGGTTATTGCAAACATGATGCCTTGAATAAAGGTGTCAGTTTTTGTGCCAGTTAAAAGGGTAAAACCTATTACTATAAACAAAATTGTTTCGTTTTATTTGTTTACCTTCTCTATACCATGCACTCCGGTCGCATTTTTGTATTGTTTGTTGTAACTTTCTGACCCCGTACCCCGACTGGACATCTGTGAAAAAAGAGCTTCATAGCTCATCGGATTCCTCCACGATGAATACATATTCTGAGTTGAGTAGGCTTGGGATGGACATGTACTGGCTGAAGAAGGGATGATGATGATGATGCTGATGATGATTACGGCCAAAGGAAGGGAATGACGGTGGTGATGTCAAGCAGAGGTACGTCCACCACCACCACCACCACCACTTCCACGGAGATGGAGCGATAAGGTCAGCACGCGCCAGCAGCGAGATGGAGCGTGGCATCACTGGACTGAGGCCGGGTGACAGTTGGGACGGAGGGCCTTCATCTAGCAGTGGATAGACAAGGCTCGCGATGCGGATTGTGAATGACGTCACGGGATTTTGGACGTTTTTTGACCCCCCCCCCACCTTCGTCACACGACGTCACAAAAAGTCAGACCCCCCTCCCCACATATGACGTCACAAAGCTCTGCCCCGCCCCCCCCCAAAAAAACCCAATAAAACATGCTTCAAATCGCTTTAAACTATCGTCATTGTAGTGCGTATTTAATGTGGCGCTGCACTCTGATGTTGTAGGAGTGTCGTTATAACAATTTGTGTTGTTAAAACAATTATACATTTATTTTAAAGTTGCGCATTTTGATGTGACGTCACATTTCTCACCCCCCCCCCCCCGTCGGTGCGTGACGTCATTTATGGACGTCCCCTAAACCTCGTTCGTGTGCACTCCATGCTTCATAGTTGGCGGCCGAGAAGGTGAAACACTAAAAGTTTACGATTTTATTTTTCTCTTTAAAAAAAAAATATATATATATTGCCAGAAGGCGTTGGCGAGGCGCGGCGGGCGGTCTCGCGTAATTGCGGTGAGGAGAGGGAGTTAACTTTGACTGGCAGCCGCTAATCCCATCCCCAGGTCGGCGTTGCTCAACGCGTCAACTCGAGGTGCCTTAAAGTGGGGCGTTTAAAACGCGTAACGTCTGGAAGTGCGCTCGGTAAAATTGTCACACCGCCTTGCTCAATTTCTCCTCGTTATTATTTATCATTGCACAGCACTGATTCTCCAACCTTGTGTCACGGCTGCTCTGCTAATTTGTGGCACCTGTGGCAGATGACTCACACGTGATTATTTACCAAGACTCTCGTGGATTATATCATTGCACAGATTTATGAGTCGCTTCACTTCACCGCCCGAGGCATTGCCACGTGGTTACCCCCCCCTCCCCTCCCAGGGGTAACCTTCCGGTTGAGAACCTCTGGCACTGTGCAGTATTTGATGCTGTGGGGCCGTCCATAAATGACGTCACGCGATTTTGGACGATTATTGACCCCCCCCTCTCGTCACACGGCGTCACTAAAAGTCAGACCCCCCCCTCAAATATGACGTCACAAAGCTCTGCCCCCCCCCCCAAATTTTTTTTTCCATTTTGAAATTAAAACATTCTTCAAATCGCTTTAAACTATTGTCATTGTAGTGCGTATTTAATGTGGCGCTGCACTCTGATGTTGTAGGAGAAAACATTTATATAAAAAAGTATGTTTAATTAAGTAGAACGTGTTGTCTATATTCATTTAAAGTTGCGCATTTTGATGTGACGTCACATTTCTCAACCCCCCCCCCCCTCCTTCGTTACACATCGTCACAAATGTCTGACCACCCCCCCCCAGGTGCGTGACGTCATTTATGGACTGCCCCTGTGCTGTTGCTGTCACGATCTTTCGTGACAACCCAGGGCAGTGACTCTCTCGCAAACGAGACTCCTTCCCTCCTCCTGGCAGAGCCGTCCCTAGGGAATGGCGAATCTGGGCGACCGTCCCGGGCCCAGCGCTTTGGAGAAGGGGGGTGGGGAGGCTGCGCTTCGACTTCACGGTTTTGCCACGAAACCCGCACCCTCCCTCCCTATGGACGGCCCTGTCTCCTGGCCTCTGGATTTCTCCCACGGCTTAAACTCACACAGGGGTCGGTCACCGAAAGAACCATTTTTTGGGGGGGGAATTTGGTAAAAAAAAAACACTCATTATTTCAAGATGCACGTGAATACGAGACGGCGGTGCTGAATAAATAACGTCACGAAGCAGCCCTAAAGAACAACACGCGGCTGCGGAGCCGCAGGTTGCCGACCAATAGAGTAACCAAAAAATAAGCGTAACCAGCTTAGGTTATCCACCACAACTTCGATAGATTTGATAGCGCTGTTTGTTGCTGGCCCCTTGGCGTTTTGGGGTGTTGGGCAACTTTGTAAGAACGAGAGCATAATCCCCCCTTCCCGTTCCCTATATCCCCTTACGTTTTCCCTACCCAGTGCTGGATGATCCTAGTAGCAAAAGTAGCTACACGTGTAGTAGCTGCACGTGAAGTAACTACACGTGTAGTAGCTACAACACGTGTAGTAGCTGCACGTGTAGTAGCTGCACGTGAAGTAGTTACACGTACAGATACTGCACATGTAGCTGCCTGTGTAGTAGCTACAGATGTAGTAGCTACACGTGTAGTAGCTACGTGTAGTAGCTGGACGTGTAGTAGCTGGACATGTAGTAGCTGCAAGTGCTACACGTGCCTAACCGCCGTTTGTGGCGTCTCCTGTGCGTGGTGGGTGGGGGTGTGGCTACGCGAGCAGTGGGCGGGGACAGTGGGAGGTGGGGGGTTATTGTGACGTCACCAAGGCACGAGGCCACGCGCTGTGGGTGCTTCTGCTGGGCGTGTGCGTGCGGTCCTCACTCGAAGTCTTGCGGCTGGCAGCGGGGCTGTGAGTCAGGGAGCAGCCGTTGGCCCAGACGCGGCTGTTCTCGGCTGCCGTCAAATTCCACGACTGTAGGGCAACGATACGAGTGGTATTCTTAGTTTTTTCGGTAAAGTCACGTTGAAGAGAAACAACAAAATAACAAAACGTGACTTTACCGAAAAAAACTAAGAATATGAATTACTGCAGTCACGAAAGCTTTAAATGAAATTACGAGTGGTGTCAAGCGATTGAGTTTTTGATTCTGTTTGGCTCATATCGTCGTGTCGGTAACGGTAAGAAGTTATTATTTGTAAAGTGGTGCATTTCATACGTAGCTCCCAATGCGCCATCGGAGTGTATGGAACTCCAGGAAATAAACAGAACCTGCAGGATACATGGCCAGGGCTAGGCGGGGCGGGGGGGTAAAGGCCGATTTAAAGAGGTGAGTTTTCAAGATGGGACTTAAATAACTCTCGCGACTCTGTCTGATTACCAAAGGCACAACGCGTTGTTCCACAGCCTGGGAAATGCACGGTGGCAATATCCCGATCACTCATCACCTACTCACTCGCCCACTCGCCCACTCTCACCCATAAGTCAGACTGAAACAGCTTTAACCACTTTGTCCGATTACCAAAGGCACAACGCGTTGTTCCACAGCCTGGGAAATGCACAGTGCAGGTGAATGTCCCAATCAACCCAGGAACAAAGCCTTCACCTCGGAGTCCTTAGGGACCAGACGACACGGGCAATCAAATTAAGTTGTCACGCTGTGGGCAAATGTGCCACCAAACGATTTGGTTCATCGGCAAAACCGGAGGAGGAGGAGAAGGAGGAAGGGGAGAAACGTTAAAAAGCCCGAGCAACATTCAGTTTCATTTGTTAGGTATGGCCCTGTGAGCCATGCGGCTCTTGAATCGGGTGCAGCCGCAACAAACAAAAACATGAACAAAGAAGCATCTTAAAGTGACTACGCGCAACAGAAACATCCAGGAAAAAGACAGCAAAGGTTTACCAGAAAAAAAAACCCACCGTAAAATCAACGCTGTGTGCAAAACTCCCAGTGGGATGCAAGTCAAACAATAACAACCATTAGACAACTTAAATGAAAACTCTTTGGTTTTTTCGGTAAAGCCACGTAGGTAAAATAAAATTAAAGAAAACAACTAAATTAAATCATGACGTTTCGGAGGCAACACAAGCTTCCGTCTTCAGGTGGAACAGTCACAGCAGAATAGCTGTATTGATTCAGTTGCTTCTGAAACGTCGTGATTTAATTTAGTTGTTTTATATTATTTTACCTACGTGACTTTACCGAAAAAAAAACAAAGAGTATGAATCCTTGCAGTCACGAAAGCTTCAAATCTAGAACTTAGATTAAAGTTATCAGATCGTTGTGTCCAAACGACGTTCGGCTGGAGATCGAAACAACATCATCATCATCATCAGGTGTCAACTAAAGGCTCCACTCTCACGTCGGTTTCATTGGCTTGCGTCGGGTGGTGGAGGACAACGCAAAGCTCCGATTGGCATCACGTTCCACCAACCCGCACCGCTGCTACCACAAGCGCTGGACGGTTACAGGCAGCCACGTGCAGCGTAGAGTCGCTTCGTTTAACAGCTCACGATGACGCTGATGGTTTCGCGCACCCGGACAGCGAGAATTGAACCTCGCAGCTTTGCGATCAGTGTTCTGTAGCTCAGCTACACACTCACCTACTCACCCACCCACGCTCCTTCTCAACGGTCTATCGAACTTGGAACTCTGCACGATGTTCAAGACTCTTCACATACATTTTTTTACCAGTTCAGTAGACAATGGAAGATTGGACTGTTTAATGGAGCTTACAAAGTAAAAAAAATATTGCGCATTCGTGATAACATAGTTTACAACAGTTTCGCGTTAATAATTTTACTTAGGTGAGTGATTGGATTGGCTGAGTGAGTGGGTGAGCGAGTGAATGGTTAATTGAGTGGGTGAATGATTGAGTGGGTGGGTGAGTGAGTGTGCGGGTGAGTTCTGCAAGACAGATCCGTTTAATAGAGCTTGCGATGTATTAAAAAAAACTGCGCGCTCGTTATTAACCTATAGGTTGTGAGAGTTGCGAGTTTACAAAGGTGCTTACTGACTCAACAATACCAACAGTACCAATACTCGCCATTCCTCACCGAGTGATGGTGAAGTCACACGGCGTCTGTGCCAGGTCAGGTGCATTTGGAGGCCACGCGAATTGTCGAAGTCTCGCTGACCGGAGGAGGTCACAGGGCAGACCCAGCAGGTGCCATGGGTTGACTGAGACGACTGGCAGAGATGCACCAGCAGTGCCCCCCTATTCTGCAAACTGATTCACCGCCACCACTACCTCCTCCACCACCACCACCACCACTGTTGCCCACTCACCATCTGGAGCATGTTGCTGGCCGCCGGTCGCACGCTTGCCCGCAGGAGGTTGTGGAGGTTCACGATGCCCCTCTGCACGGACCGCTGTGAGGTTTTGAGCGTCTTCCAGTGGGCCACCGTGTTGGACGCGGCGTGGCAGCCCGGCCAGCGGCCCGCCAGCGCCGCTAGGGCCGCCGTCATCATCAGCACGCGGCCCACGCTGCCCGGGTGTGACGGGGGAGGGAGGGGGGGGGGAGGTTGTACCGTCAGTTTAACACGGAGGCTTTCGCGACAATTATTGTCCAGAATCAGTGCCGGATGAAGCTAGTGCAGGGCCTGTAGCGTATGTTGTAAAGGGGCCCTAAATAATTTTAAAAAATATGAATGTTTAAACACATTTTTTTTACTTGCACAGTAAAGTAATTGTATTTTTTTTCATTTGCTATACAGCCAGGTAATACGACAAATCGCTAACCTCAAACACCCAGTCGTTTATAAAAGTTGAAGGCGTTATAGTACTATAGTAATAGAGCAAGTGCAGCTCTATTACTATAGTACTATAACGGGGCCCCGTAGCATATGTAGCTACTTTTGCTGCTAGGATCATCCGGCACTGTCCAGAATACAGGTTGCTATGCTTTATTTACGTGACAAACCTTACTAATTGGCTGCGCCGGATGGTGGCGGGTTTAACGACACATTTATATTTACGGGATTTAACCCCAAAACAAACCCCTCTATTAAGGTTGTTACTATACACCAAGGCCGTAGCCATGGAGTCAACATTGGGGGGGACTAAAATTCTTCCAGGGTGTCTGGGGGTCCCAACCCAGAAAAAAATCAAAATTTGAAAACGAATTTCCTGCCTAAAATATTAAAAAATTCACTAACACATGGGATGGACTTTTATTTATTTACAATAATGTCTAATAGTGATATTGTATTACATTGCTCTGTTTTTACCTTTTTTTACCTTTTCTTGTTTCATTGTATGCAATGGCAGAGATTAGGGATTAATAAAGTACAACCATAACCACAATCATATAAACATAAATCTACGCATTGGTTTATATGAAGACAAGTCCAGATATTATGGCCAAGGTTTAGCAAATTGTTATTTTAATTTACATAGCATAGCAATTACATTTTTCATACCAAAATGTTGGGGGTGACATTTTGAGCATATTTGAATATTGGGGGGGGGGGGGATGTGTCCCCCCCCCCCCCCAATATATATTATAATTACGGCCTTGCTATACACTAATCACGTGGGCACAGTGAGGAGCCCCTGGGTTCGATTCTCGACTCGAGCCGACCGCACGCTCTGCTGTGTGGGGAGTTTGTACGATCTCTCTCTCCACCCCGAGTCACTGCTTTCACTCCGGGTTCTATGGGCACGGTATAATACGCGCAGTGTTATCGGCGTTGGCCAAAAACAACCTCCCAATACTGTGTGGACGTGTGTTGGACTTCTTTCTCACCGTACGTAGCCAACCGTGCTAATGGGATGTGCGGTGGAAGGACAACACCAAATACAAAAAAAGCAGTTCTAAAGAAATTCGTTTTCAATATAGATGATGTCATAGTGCATAGCTCCAACGCATTCCTAAAATCGGAAGGAAGAGCGTTCCAGACGGCCGCAGAAGCGCATCTGAAAGCGCCGCGCGATGCAGTGGCCGTCTTCGTTCGATGGTTAGCCATGTCGAATAACTACCGTGGAAGAGTGCGAGGCAAGGAGCAGAGATAGGTGAGGTGACCTGCGGTGTGATGAGTGGGTGAGTGGGTGGGTGGGTGGGTGAGTGAGTGAGTTTGGCGAAGTGAATTGTTGTGACATTGCAGTGTGGTGGTTGACCAAAACAGTGTCCGGTATAGACCGAGTGCTCGACCACGGGCCGAGGAATCAACGAGCGATGGTCGCGGGAACACGGCAGCGCTGGAAGAGCGATACGGGAATGACTGACCCGCCAATGCGTGAGTGACTTGAAGTCAATTAAGTACGTAGTGCACCATTAGCGGAGTTCAGGGCGACAGCCATAACGACAGTAGCAGCGCTATGAGAGCGATAAGCGAGTGCCTGACCACCGGCGTGCGAGTGACTGTACGTGAATCAGCGAGTGCTATCACCACAGCACGCCGTGTCACGACGCGCGTCACAAACTCACCACGACATAGCTGAGCCCTGGGACAGAGGGGATCGTTCGGGAAGAATCTGCGCAGGAGATGAGGACCTCAACTGTCGATGATCCAGCCGCCCGTGGCCGTGTCTCTGTGCCTCTTGAGTAAGCGACACGAGGCCTCGCTTATATATATGTCTACACACACGCACACAAACACTGCACGCGCACGCTGCAGGTACGGCAAGGCGTTGGTATTTAACCGGCTGGAAGCCACGCAGGGAAGGTGATGGATGGCTGCTGAGCGTGGCATTCTCAATCACTCAAAGCCACACCACCCCGTCTGATTATTGATGCCGTGGCCACATTGCCACGAGTGCCCTGCAGGTGATAGTAATAATAACAACAACTCGTCTTATTTGATGGTTTTAAGAGTAATCGCGTGTCGTATTCCAAAGTGCTCTTAGCGCGCGCCGAAGATTGTGACCTTTCGATGTAAAGAGCCCCGTTTTTTTGCCGTTGTTGAGAATGTTTCACAGCCGCTCAACGTCGACGGGACGTTCGCAAAGTAGACGTGGGGTGGATGACGACGCAGCCTCTCTCTCTCTCTCTCAACGCCCAGAA